TCATATCGAATGTCATAGAAAATGGCTCTCCGGCCTCTAATAATAATCGAAACCTGGCTTATATTTTCGAATTCTTCGTGTTTGATTAATATAACTATTGCCCTTTCATCGATGTCTTGTGGAAAGAAGAAGCACTTTTTCCTTTCCTTTTCTGTGCGCGATACGAGTTTACAGAACCCAGTTTCAATTAATATCCTTAATATCCTTCAAGTAGAAACTATCTGCATCAGGTTTCTCAGTTTCCTTACTGACGGTTATTCATTAGGACAAAATGAAAGAAATTTAACTTTCAACTTGATGCTAAGACTTAACAAAATGAAATTAGGCCCGAAAAAGCAAGCAGCACTTAAAGTTCAAAGTGGGGCTCTCACTTTTAGTGCATCTCTCTTCTGTCCAAAGTGCCGCACCGGAAAAAAGGGGAAAGTGGCTTTTTCAATAATGTACAAGATTTCAACCAGAGTCGAAAACAATTGCTGTGTCTAATATCTATTTTGATTTAAAACCATGATGAAAAAAGCCTTTCATGATATTAACATTTTCTTTCCAGAGAGTGAAATGGCGACCAGCTTAACCGGGGGTTTTGATTCCTATGAGCACAGATATATTGGAAAGATTATCCAAATGGATGAACTAAGAGTGCTTACGCTCCCAAATGGTGTGGAAATTGAATTTGGACAAATTATAGCCCTTGCTGGAGATTTTTATGGTTTACCAAAACAACCAATCATCGATCCTTCTAAAGGACAAAACGAAGAAGACTCGGGTCGCCAGCAGCGCTTCAGAGATGCATACAACACTCTGGCACGCGCACCGAAAGATGAGTTAATGGAGGAGCTAATCAAACTGCTGGCCACATTAGAGAAAGAAAGCGAAAATGGTAAAACCATTGATGCGAAAACATGGGACGAAATCACTGGTGGTAAATGGCTCGGTCCCCTGCCAATGAAAAAGGGTAGGATGCTGCAATTAGCTGAAAATAATCACGACCATTTTCTTCCCCACGCAAAGGACGCTTACCTGACTGGCCATCAGCTGGCGATTGACAAAGCACGGGAGGCTGGTTATTATCGCTTGGGTGATGAAGATGAGCACAAGAGGCTTCTTCACGAAGCATTTTCACTGGAGGCGTTTGCTTGCCATTTCCTTACTGACAGCTTCGCAAGTGGACACATAAGGTGACATAACATCACATTACATCACAGAATATCACATAATATAACATCACATAACATCACATAGCATCGCATAGCTTGACATTTCGTAACATTAAATCTTTATAATTGGACGGTTTTATTATTGCATACGTCTTAAACCTTTCTTAATTTGTGCTTTAATTTTATTTCCACGTACGTATAGTTATAGTAGTACCCTAATACCTTAGTTCATTAATATTTAGGGATATTGTGCCTTTTACATTAAAGGCGTTTGCTTCGATTGAATTTCTATATTCAGAGTCAGACCACTTGCTGACAAATCTCTGCTTTCAGGACACCGAGAGTTGAATTGGGCAATGGAACTACCTCTACCAAAGTTGGCAATTTGCTTTGTAAGTACATGCACGATGAAGATAACAAGTATGGGCTGCGTGTCACAAACAAGAGAGGAGACAAGTGGATTGCATATGGCGATGGAAGGCTTCTTCATGAAGAGAGCAGGGATAATCTAAAGATTGTAGCAGATGCTGTTCAGAAATCAGTTGATCAAGTGTACGACGCTTACACAAACCCCAGCAAAACTCTTGACCATGCTGTGGTGACCGACCTGATACCATTTGTTGACCAAGATGAAAGAAACAACTCTCCCTTGTTCCAAGTGAAAGATGGAGAGCTGCACAGGAGATCAGACATCAGTGATCTTCAGGACAAAAAGACTGTGACCAACTGGTGGGGGCTAACAACAGCATTTATGCTATGGAATTACAAACCAGAAAACTCTGCGATTTAGACATGCAGTTTTTCTTAGTGATTAGTGAACTTGGCAATAAGTTGCTGGAATGTTTGTTCCCAGTTTTCATGTCTTCTAATTGCTTTAGTAACTCATTTTAAGGATTACATTTGCAAAAAACAAGCAATCTAGCCCGTTATCATGATAGGGTCGATTCTTTTAGGAAAGAGGACCCAGGAACCTCACCGTGTTCAGTATTCACGGGAGATTACACTGATTACATTGATCATAGTAGTAATAATATCAAGAAGTGATTTTGGAGTTCTATAAATTGTGTGAGTACAACCAAGCAATTGACTGCATAGTCATGTTATAAAACCGGTTTTTTTCCTATTCTCGGGTGTCATGACGTGAGTTGAACAATTACGATTTTGAAGATAGCGTGTGTATGTGTGTGTGTAGATTATACAATTATCATTTTATTTTTCTGAGGCCACTTATCAATGGTGGTAGTCTATTTTGTAAGATATCTAAGTTTCTTTAGCTTTTGAATTGTTAAAATGTAAAGAAAGGTTAAAAGGAACGATTCACAGTTGCAGTTATTTACCCAGTGAATGAATGATAACATTTTGCTCAACCATTAAAGTATTAAGAGCGCTAGTGTGCCTTGTTATCCTTGTTTCGTTACCGGAATATACCGCTTCTCGAATAAGTGCCCCCTCTTCCCCCCTCTTTTCTCAATAATAGTAGGATTAAGCGCGCGTGGAAATACGATTATGCAAAATGCTTTTTGTTATTTATGAGAACTATTCCAAATGAAGTCTTTTTAGATATCAAGTATTCGATGAGATTAATCTGGTATTTTCTGCACTAACTTAAAGATGACTGCAAGATACTACAAATCATAGAGAATACGGGAATATGCCTTGTGTGGTAAACGCTATATATCTAGGCAAAAAACAAAGCTAGTTAAGATGTGGTGGCAGATTCAAACGGAAGGAAAAATAAATATGATCCTCATCTTGACAGGGACCTAAACCACAGAAGTTACCAAAATCCTTACACATTGGGCGATAGCCTACCAACGAATTGGAAGAACTTGGAGGGACAGAAGCTCTTGACTGATAACTGGATGACCTTAGCCGAGAAGAACCGGCTCGTTGCTACTGACGACACTTATCCTTGACCGCTTTTCTCTCCGCTCTCCTCTCTACTTGAAACATTTTCTTTTCGTCATCAGAATTTGATGTGAGCTCGTCAGATAGATACTTGTTGTCTGTAAGCCAACCAAACTCGCACAAGTCAGCGAACTTGATGGTCTTTCAATACTAAAGTAGTACCTTTTAGGGCACGTTTCGCTTTCTCAAAGGACGTTCGAAGCGCCATCCAACTTATCGAGGACTTGAAATTCCTGATTGAGTTCTGTTGGTTTCCCCTCCGAACATGTGTAGTTCTCACGGTTTGCTCAACCGCAGCACCATTACTTTCAGAAAAACTTGGACACCATATTCCCACCAATAGTGTGGCTCCATTTCTTTGGCCTGACGAAGGGCTGATGCTCGAAACGTCAGTATTTAAACTCTTTACGGTGGCCAATTTACGTTATCAACTCAGTTGATAATACTTAGATGCCCAGGTATAATCTCCCACCGACGCAGCACCACAGTTTCTTTACAAATTTACCCCCTTTGTTCAATAATATGCAGCCATTTTGACCAAGCATGCTTGGTCAATAAAGGATTCATCATATAGCAAAAAGATTTCGCTCAATTAAGATTCAAAAATTGACTTGTTTATTTCGAGAGACGGGAAAGAAAGCCAACTGCTTTTGGGGCACAATAAACCCACGAGAGTTGTTTATGTTTTCCTTATTTTGACTGTATTCTACCGCCTTTAGCGACTGCATCGCCAAGTCTTAGGAATTTTCTTTCTTGCGCGACACTAAAGAGGGAAATCCGAAGCGGGCAAGATGGGCCCATCTCGCCCGCTCGGGTAGCCAATCAGAACACAGGATTCGCTTTCATATTGCTCACGGGCGCCGCCAGTGATATATCATAAAGGCTTCAAGAAAAGCTGAAACTTGCACTGAGCCTAAAAGTAGAAGCATAGTTGAACACGACGATGATCTTTCGAAGTTATGGTTGACGGAAGGAATTCCTTTCCCCTGCACATCCCTCACTTTCCTTACTTCCTCCTCCGAAGAGATCATGTAAAAATATCCTTGCCTAGATTTACGATCTTCAGGACGTAGGACTGAGTTTCTTTGAAGATTCAAATTTGACCCTGTGATTACAACGTCTCTTCAATAGAAGAGGTGTCGCTCCTTCTACTGTCCTTACTAATAAACCCGCTGAACTAAGTCACAAGCACTCTCGGCTCGTGACACGATCGAGCTCACTTCAGACATGGGGGTCTCCACAGGCGATACTCCAATAGATCCAATCACAACCGCTGACCCTGCTGAACCTAAAGGTAATAGGCCCGGAGGGATGTAGGTGAGGAGCTGATTACGAAGTCACCCTTGCGGATGGCTTTTGATTTCTTTGCTGAGGCATGGAAACAGCGCATTGGCGACAGCTGTAAAGAAAACCTCGGACCCAAGGCTAAACTGATTCTGTTTGATCATGCAACATTTGAATATGAAATCTATCTATTACTTATTGCTGTATGCATCGGCAACAAGGGGCAAATCCTAATACCAAGGCAACAAGAAACTTAAAAAAAAACGGTTAAGCACGAAAAGAGGACAAGAGATGCCAGAAAGCATACGTCAGAGAGAGGCTGAGGTGTGAACATCAAAGAGAGGCTATTGAGGTTTTTTCAAAGAAAAATGGAATCTGATGCAGTTTCACAGGGAGTTAAATTTCAGAAAGACGACGACATGACCCCAAACGAAGGGGAAAGCCAAATAGACCTTGTGACTTGCACCACGCAGTTGACATGCAGTATTCGTCAATGGTCTGTAAAACGCCAAGAAACGATTGAAACATTGCGAAGCCTGGCAGATGAACTTATGGAACATTACAAGAATGTTCACATTGCCAAGATCTCGGGCTCATCAGCATCAATCGGAGGCTTTGTTTTAGCCGCTACGGGGTTCGGTCTCGCTGCTGTCAGTCTTGGGACTTCACTGATTCTATCTGCGGTTGGAGGAGCGATCTGCGCCGGCGGAGGCGCTACTGTGGCTGGTTCCAGCATTGTACAATCGAAAATTTTCAAAACAAAGCTCGCGACGGCGCAAGAAATCATCGACGCCGATCGCAAAGCACAGGAACCTGTGCAGAGGCTTTTAGATGACCTTTGTCGTGAAGTATCCAAAGAATCGTTTAGCAGCGTGAAAAATAGTCTCGCTTGCAATGTAAGCGTCGCCTTGTTGGTGAAAAACCTCGTCGATGTGAGTAACGGAATAAACATGACCGGCGCTAGTGTGGCAACGACAGTGGCAAGTGAGGGTATGGATGGAATACTCCGATCTATAGGTATAGCTGGAAACACCGCTCGGATTGGAATATTCGCAGTGAGCATTGCACTTCTCCCTTTGGACATTTACACTATGGTAACTTCCTTTACGGAGATTGACTCCGTTCGAAAAGGAAAGAAAGAGAAGGAGCCAGAGGCGGTTAAAAAGTTAAGAGAGCTGGCAGATGATTTGGAGAAGGAAATGAACGAGATACTTCAAGCTGTCGAAGAATTCCAGCGAAAAAAACCTCTATGACTTTTATTTGAGGAAAAATATAAACATTACAACGCAAAGGCAAATCTCGTGCCAGCGGCCTTTATAGTTGGTACGGTCGTAAAGCTTACGTTAAACATCAACCGACACAATTTTGTAATTCGTCGGTTTATTGCTCGAGGATTTTTCAATCTGGCGCCATTAGAAGATAGGAAAAATAGAAAATGATGAACAACTGATAAAACAGTAGATTGCGAGATGATTTGGCTTTCGTCGATGGAATCGATTCATTAACGAAACAAAAAATTACGATCATACAATTTACATTTTCGACTGAAGGGCACCCGTAGTTGTCACGTTGCTGCGGTAACCAATGCAAAAGGGAAGAATTTACGGCTAAAAGAATAACTGCGATTTCGTGAGGGCAAAACGAAAGGATTCGTTTGTGGATAATCTATTTATTAATTGTTAAGAAACAAAAAGTGCGAGTGTTTCAGTATTTAGATCTATCAATTCACCTATCCCTGATTACCACCTGTTTGAACGTCATGTTTTAACATGCATGAGTGGTAGAACTGTCACTCAGTCGGCTACCTGCCTAGCGATTTTTGGGTCATTACAATTTCAGATTAACCACTCCCGGCCAAAACTCATCTCCAAAATAGCGACTGGAAATTAAACTACTTGGTATCAACTGGACCTGAGATCGACGAAAGCCTAAAAATAAGTATTCTTTTGCTGGAAATCGATCTATAAAAGATTCCATGCAGCCTTATCTTTGGAATTGCGCCAAATTTTTTATACGTATTGTACTTATGATTTACTTTCTTGCAACGAAGGTCATTTTTTCTTGTTATTATTTGTTTGTTTTTGTTTGCCGTTTTTTAAATTCAGTCGCGTTCGGAGATCTGTTTTGAGGAGTGGCATGGTGGGAAGGGCTTCAGTAAACACAGCAACCTGATAACTAAGTATATTCTCCATACTGTTCTCTGTATATTTCCTTTATGTTAACAAGGTGAATTTGCACATGGATCAAGAAGTACCTCAGTTGGTGATCATTTTAGAGTTAACACATAGACACTGAAACAAATCTTTCTGTTTACATCTAAATTATTCTTCATTAGATCAAGTTTTGTCTATATTCATCAACAACTCAAAGCCAACGCCGTACAGAATCATGGACGGGTTCAAATTTTTTTAATAGCTATAGGCATTTGCGGTTGACAACAGCGGGGCCCTCTTCATCATATTCTTGCTTAGAGATCCACATGGACTGAAAATCCGATAACGAAGCCAGGATTGATCCCCCAATCCATGCAGAGTATTTAGGCTCAGGAGGAGCAATGATCTTGACCTTTCTTGTAGGTGAAGCCCCGGCGAGTCCAGTGATCTCCTTCTGCACTCTTTCAGCAATTCCTTTGAACATAGTGGAGCCACCAGACAAGACAATATTGGCGTACATTTCATTTCTGATGTCTTCGTTGCACTTCACGATGGACTCAAATACGAGCTGATGGATGCCGGGTGACAACGCTAAACTATTGTCAGCCATGGAGGGCTGGAACAGAACCTCGGGACATCTAAATCTCTCGTCGCCAAGAGTGACAAACTGGCCATCAGAGAGTTCATAGCTTCTCTGCAAGCTCGGATCAGAGGCAGCAGTACTCATCTCCTTTTCAAAGTCCTGAGCGACATAGCAAAGCCTCTCTTTAACATCTCTTGCTAATCTGTGCTCGGTTAGAGTCTTGCCCCGTTCGCCCAGAATCTTTGTGAGATAATCTGTCAAATTCGTACCGGCCAAATCGAGACTCGAAACGTTCTGGCGAAGAGCGAAACCTTCACTGATAGGGACGGCGTAACTGACGCCGAAACCACTCTGGAGGACGATACCATCCTTACGGCCAGAGGCGTAGAGAGACAGGACAGGTGCTGGAGCTAAATACATCGCTGGTGTATGGAAGGTCTCGAACATGATCTATTGAAATAGAGATAACAGAAATTAACTGAAGCACTTGCCTCCCACGCTGGCATTGTTTAGAGTATAAAAACTAAACCTGAATAGAGATATTTTGAGTCTCTGCTTCCCCGTAAATCGCCTTTACCAGTTTTTTCGTCCCTATCCTAAATCAGTAGCAAAATGTTTCGGTGGGCATTGTTGAAAAGCTTGGGCGAACATTTTTCTAGGTCAAAATGGAGCTACGGCGATGCTTTCCTAGCGAAACTAAACACTTAATAGGTTTGCTTGAATTTCCGGCCGCCATATTCGCACTCCTCCTAAGTCCTGTATATTTCTATTGAGACATTTTTTCGAATATTTCATCGGCGGAAAACTGCAAAGATGCTTTGATTATTGATTGATATTCTTCCATATCTCGAAATTATTGGCTTTAGGCGTAAAGTGGTTCTGATCTCTCGTTCGCGTGACTGTGGACTGACCACCCACTTCATATAAGCTGTCCAGCACATCTCGCTCTGTGCAGAGATCTGTTTAGGCTTCACGAACTATTTTCAGTTACCTCTGTTGTCTTCTCTCTGTTTACTTGTGGATTAAATGGGGCTTCTGTCAGAAGAACGGGGCGTTGTTCGGGACTTACACCCAGCTGGGCGAAAGTGTAATGCCAGATCTGCAACATAACATTCATATCTTAATACATAATTGTTTTAACTTTTCCTTGTTAGATCCTGACACAATTTGAATTTAAATCACCGTTTCCATGTCCTCCCAGTTAGTTATGATCGAGTTCTTGACTGGGTATGTAAGATCCAGATCGCCCCTCTTATCCAAGGCACCATTTCCGACGAGCGGATCTTCGCGATCTGCTTGTTCTTGTAATTTCGCGTACTTTGGATGACCAACGACGGAGGTAAACTCTACTTGAGGAGACTCGTCTTTAGCAAATCCCGCTTTGATTGTATCAGACCCATTATCCAAAACAACAGCTTTGGCGAGCGACATTCTGTTTTTCCTGACCTTAGCTTTTCTGCTATTCACTTACTCTCGGGAGGAGAAATTATAGAGGACTAAGGGAAATTATTGCGTGACAAGGGTTGTCACGTAACAGTTAATATGTTTTTTTCATGGGGCAGTCTACGTTCGAAATTATTTTGAATTTTCCTACATCTATAATTTCGCTCAAAGTCTTTTCGAATTTTCATCTCTTAGGATCTGAAAACCAAAATTTATTTCCTTGGTATGACAGTTTTTATTCAAGTTGCTTCTCTGTTATGTTTTGTTTTTGCTTTTGTTTTGTTTTGTTTTGTTTTTCATGTTATTAATATTTACAACAGTGGGGGAATTATACATGAAGGGAAAGAGAGTAAGATAATTAGTCAAACTGAAATTTCCTTTTTACTACAGTGTAAAGTCTGTTAACTTTTTCAGTATCACAACACCCTCTGTCAAATAAAACATCCAGTTGAGAGAGTTCCTTAGTTTTAGCCAGCTGAAGCAATGTGTAAATGATACTCAGGGACTTCCATCTGAGGTCTAAGAGTGGGGCTTCTGTAAGAAGACAAAAAAACCAGATTACTTTTACTCAAAGAATTCCCTAGCATTCAATCTGCTCAGTGGTAATTATATAGGTTGGATAATATCTTCACCAAAGACTTGTTTTATCTTAAAGGGGCTAAGTTTCTAAATTAACTTTGGTGCTGCATTGGTGAGAGATTATAACAGGGTAATTTAGTATTATCAAGTAAGTTGATAAGATAAATCAGCCATCGTAAGAGTTTTAAAACTGACATTTCAAGCATTAGCCCTTCAACAGAGTGATTGAGTGGGGCTAACACTCGAAACATAAACTTTGAAACTCTTTACTGTGGCCAATTTACTTTATCAACTCAGTTGATAACATAAAATTACCTTGTTTTTATCATAGACTTACCAGCTGATGAAGTGATGGGAGGTAAGAGGTCCAGTAAATACTTGGCCAATTTTCCAACGACATGTTTATCTGGTAAATTCAGGATGGCATGAAGGACATCAGCATCGTCAATAACCTCCAGCATCCGAGCAGTTATATTGACATCATCAGTAGATCTTTCCTTTTCAAGAAATATTCCCATATATTTTGTCAGTGTATCTTGTTTCTCTAACATTGATAAAACATTCCATGTTGCAGGACACTTGAGTAGCTTCCCAAGACCATCCAGAGCTACCTGTAACATTAGAGATATTCCATGGTTGTAAAGTGTTCTGTCTAATTATAAACTATCTGAGAATAAGAGCATATTTCAAGAAACGTTTGGCCCACTCTTTAGAAAATTGGTATACAAGTTGGACTTTTAAAAGTTTTATATCACAGTTTTGGTGCATTTGTGTGTATTTTATCCTTTCCTTCCCGTGGTTATCCACGTTTTTTACCATTTGGTTTTCTCTCACCCCGTTGGTCTTAGGGAGGAGAGGTGGCTTAATGTTAGAGCTTTCTCAGCTGTTGGTTATGTGTAAGCTTAGAGACACTGAGTGGCAAAACTTGAGACTCCACTTGAAGCTTGGCTACTCATTTTGAAGGCTCTGCCACCTTTGTTTTCATAGAGCCCCCAAACAACTGCCAGCCAGTCAGGCCTGTGGTGTTTGTAGGATGTTAGCCTAGTTCTTAAGGGCCTATTGTTTTCCTAAATTAATTGCAATTGCCATAGCAATTATCAAGATTGCCTTAGTGAGTAAAATTCAAGCATTAACTATTTGAAGCCTCTTGAAACAAAAGAAGTTTGGGGTGGGTACCAGTCTTCCAAAGTGTAGAGTAATTAATCTAAAAGATTGATATTGCATGCCTTTTTTAATTTGTCAAAAACTTACCTGATAAAGAAATGAACTTGTACACTCTCCTGGATTGTTCAGAATGCTCAGAACAGTTTGCAAAGTTAAGAGAACAAACTTTATAGCACTGAGGGGAAGGAGAGCTGCCCAGGAAATTGTGATGTAGCAAAGTGATGAACAGGCTATAACTTGACAAAGATGAAACCTGTATAATGTAAAATATAGGGGGAGCAGTAATTGACATGTTACAACTCACCAATATCTCAAGTGGATATTAACAATGTAGTAGGAATGGAATTAGTGCCTTTGTTAAATAGTGACACAGGAAGGTAGTGAAATCATGGTAAAGTTGTGAATTTTGTTGGTCCATGAGAGTTGATCTTTTTCCAAGTTAACAAGGTCAATGTGTGAGGTCATTTTCTTGAAGGACAGTAACAGCAGAGGAGAAAACATGTGGGTTATTTCTAAAATTGGAGAGGTTGATGAATTATCTGTGGGTTGTATTAGCTTTGTTTGAGTTACTTACATCATCTGTGACTTACACAATTGTACAGTAAGCTGATAATCTTTCAAATAAACAGCTCTGACCTTGTATCCTTAACCGCAAAAGATTCCTCATAAGTTGTCTGAAGATTTTTGCAAACTATAACAACTAGATGACAAAATAAAAAAGCAAAAACTAATCATACAGTGTCACAAAAAGGTATAACTTGATTTCTACTGAAGATATCAAAGTACAGCAGAGAACCAGAAAAAACAAATAAAAGAAAATGTGAATGGTCCTATAAATTTTTAGAGTGGGAATAAGTTACCTTGGGGAATGGGTGTTCATTTAGTGGGAATCTGGGTAAATATTGCCATGATGTGATTAAATCTTAACTCTTTGAAAGACAAAAGGTTGCAATTTTTGCCAGCCTGGTTGCGACAAGGCCATTGTTTCTTGTAGATTATTTTTAATAAGAGGAGAGCTTACGTTAAAAACCTTAGACTATCAACAGTGGTATTGCCTCTCCTCACGCCCTTAAACTTCCACCACTCCACGAGGGGTACAAGTTCACACTCAGATATATCGTAAATGACACAACCTGAAGACTTATTCATCAGCTGTCTCATTTTCTTCACCTTGTGTTTCTATGTGCTGACCTTTGGGATCCAATCGCGAAGCAAAAACTCTCATAAGGCTGCAAGCCATGGATCGAACCCAAGAGCAGGAGGAGGACAGGTACGGGAGCAGTGAATTCACTTGTACTTCAGCATTAAGAGGATTTTCGGGAAGAAAACAAGGATGATTTGCAACTGCTGTTAGCAATCTACACTCTAGGATCAAAGAAACGCCAGCGGACGAAAAGTTTTTGTTGAGATTCTCCGCGTCTTTCATGACATCGTGAACGGTTGGTTTCATCTTGTCGTATTTCTTGCATAAGAGCAAAACTTCTTCTTCAGAAGGCATCATTTTGTCCATAGCTTTCACAGGCAGGGTAGAGAATTGAAGGCTGAATTCCTACTTGTTGGGATCAAAATTATTCAAAACCCGCGCGCTTTTGTATTCCAGGTCAATAAACCTTCGGTAACATCCGTCATATTTTCGCAAAAATTCGTAATCGTCCGTCGTGAAGAGCCTCGACTTCAATATTACGCGATTACGCGCGAAATACAGGTTAAAGTTGCTACAAAATGGACCTCAGTTCATTCCAAGATAATTCACAAAATTTTACCTTAAAATCTGTGGTACCAGAAGTAACGTTAAACGAACCATGTTGTGTTGGCATCGATGAAGCAGGAAGAGGACCTGTCCTAGGTAAAACTTGGCCATTTTTGACATTTTCTCCAAGCCTTGACCAACTTTAAGTTTACTTAAGGTACTTTTATCTTTCCCGTAAAATATTTAGGGCCGATGGTTTACGGAATCTGTTATTTTCCTCTGACAAAATCTGAAAAAGTGAAAAATCTTGGAGTTGCAGGTAAGCTGATAAATCTTGTTGAAACAATTCGAGAATTTAAAATGTCGACAAACGTAGCTAATTTTCCTTTAGCTGTTTTTATTTTCCTTCCAATTAGACTCTAAAACACTTACAGAGGAACAGCGCGAGGATCTGTTTAAAATCATTGATGAGAACAAGGAGTTCATTGGTTGGGCAATTGATATCTTATCACCTAATTACCTGTCTAACAGTATGCTGAGAAGGTGAATTACTATTATTTAACCACTTTCAGCGTGTACTTAGAAGAAACTAAAGATTGAAACAAAAAAGCTTTTTCTGAGAAACAGCAGTTGTTCTTCAGTTGGAGGGAAGATTTGAGGCAGGAACTGCTCAACATTCGGTTGTGTACTCAAACACCATACAGTGAGACCATAATACAGCAAACTGATTAGGATTAGCAGTGTTTACTAAAACAGGATTTCACTGGATTGCGCTTACTTTCTCTTCATTTACATCTACGTCAGTTGGTCGTATTGGGTAGACCGAGGTTTTTATGTCTAAAATACAGGCATTTAATACTTTTTATCTCGTTAATTTTCCATTTGGTTCATACAAGATCCTGTTTTTTCATCTATCCATCTGTATCTATGAAGGACAAACTGTTACATTATATGGCGAGCTTGGCATGGTGTTGCTGCAGAAAATATCCATACTCCTCCTTTAGAGGGTTTCAACTCACCCCCTCCCCCGCACCCACCGTCTATTTTAATTATATGACTTTTGACCCTGTTCTCCTGTTTCCTTGCCCTTCACACTCTTGAAAACAAATAAAACTTGTAAATAAAGATGTTTTCTATATTGTGAAGGGCATGTGACAAAGAACAAAATCTGGATCCCTATGAACAATCAAACCTGTAAGGTTCAGACTCTGATGCTCTATTACTGAGGTACATAAAACTCTGTGATAAGCTACACCTTTATTAGGTTCATAAGTGTCACTCATGTTCCTGGCAAGACAAATGATGCATTTATTTTTTTAATGACAATCTCAAACTTTATCATCTTTCTTATTTGATTAAATTAAAGCTGTGTCTATGTTAACTTCCAGAACAAAATACAGCCTGAATGAAATATCTCATGACACAGCCATTGGACTAATAAACCTTCTTCTCTCAAGTGGCATTAATGTCCATGAGGTAAAGGAGAAATAGGGGTAATGTTGTGGGTGACATAAGTTGGTTTGATCTGTGGTGTTTGTGTTAAAGTTCCCTTTTTTATTATTATTTTTTAAGTTTATCCAGTACAATTTTAAACTACAGAGTAGCCTCTTCTTACATCATCATGTCAGAGAGAAGCCTTGGGCCAGACTGGAACAAATTGTCCCTCAACCTTTGAATTTTTCATTTTCATGTACTGAACACTTATATCCAGGGCACTTTTTTTTTCTAGTTTTGAAGGTATCCCTTGTGATAGGGGTTACACCACAAAGGTAAATTTTCCTCTCAGCTCCTTGGATAACAATTTTCTTGTAACTCACTCACAACCTGCTTCCAAAGTATGCTTCATGAAATTTGATGGAGACCAGTGGTCTGTGACATACGCAAGATTAAAAGAACCTCCTTACTATCCACTCAGTCTTTGGTGAGATCAAGTCATCCCTGAATCATTTACAATTGTTTTCAAAGTTTGTTTGACATACATCAGAACCCCTGTGGATAATGGCGATTTAAGATTTAATGTGCCCAACAATTGTCCATGATAACTGAGTTTTACTCTAGAATTATTCTAACTCAGTTTTAAATAAGCCAGTTCAATAAAAAGGTTCTAAAATTGTGGAATTCATTTTTAGATTTATGTAGACACAGTGGGAGTAGCAGACAAATACCAAGACAAACTTCAAAAGATTTTTCCTGGAATCAAGATAACTGTGGCTCCTAAGGCTGATGCTAAGTTCCCTGTGGTTAGTGCTGCAAGTATCTGTGCAAAGGTGATGAGACACTTGATTTTACATTAATTACTTAATGTATACATTAAGCAGATTTTCATGTATTTATGTGTAACTGACAGAATTATGAATCTTTCTATTCCATCAGGTTAAGGAATGAGTGCAATGTTAGAAGGTTGAAAACCAACAAGCAAACAATCAGTTGAAGGAATATGGCTCTTTCTTACACTGCCTCTTAACTCGCTCAAATTATTTCACACAAACGAAGTTACTGAGTCAGACTATTTTTCCATACTGATTGCTAGGTTGCCAGAGACAGAATATTGAAAGAATGGAAATTTCCTGAGAACATTGAATTTGGTAATGAACATGGTTCTGGTTATCCTTCAGGTAAGAACTATCCAAAGATTTTGTTTCTCATCAATCCAAGTAGTTCTCTTCTTTGTTAATGTTTTCATGTGGAAGCTCTGATTTAGAACAAACCTGACAAAATTACATGTTGGAAACAATAGTTAGGTTATATTACACCACCAAAAATCCCAATCCCTCCCCATGCCAGCTTTAACTTTCCTTTTCTCTGTGTCCCTGGTAAAGTCTGCACCTAAACCAAGTGGCACACAAGGCACCAGAGCCAATCTCAGTTTCCAAAGCATGAAACCGCTAAGATATGTCACTGTTTTCCCTGGGTGTTCATTGCTGGAACTCCATTTTACATTTTTAGGTAAAAATTATCTTCTCTACTGCTATAGATCCTACCACCAAGAAGTGGTTATCTGATTCAGTTGACAAGGTCTTTGGCTTTCCTCAACTGGTGCGATTCAGTTGGTCAACATGTAATAATATTTTGGATAACAAAGCTGTTGACGTACATTGGTATGCTATCTGCATCTTTTGTTATTATTGTTTTGTGAAAAAAAAGTGATTACCACAGAAACCATTTTATTCAGGGGATAACACCATGGTGTCTGTAGGTATCTTAAATAAAACTCTCTCCTTTCATTAACTAGACTCTGCATGAGTTTCAGCTTTGAAATAGATGAATATAACCTGCATTCAATTCAGCTAACATGCATGAACCAGCCCAATTTATTGTCACATCTATTTTGGACCAGTTTATTGTAATTTACTCTGCATAGTTCATTAGGTAAGGGAGCACTGGAAGATGCACTCGAAAGTTTCCACAATCTTTCAAAAATTATTTCAACCTCATGAGTGTCTACACGAGGCTTTGTTTTCATGGACGAAGTCCTCAATTGCTTTCACAGAACACTTCTTAAAAATATGTGCAAAGCTAAACTCAACTGCATTTACACACTCATCTGATCACACTTATCGACCAGTAAGAGCACTGTACCTGAAAAAACGTATAAATGGTTAGTCAATGAAATCCCATTGTTATCTCTATCAAAGTATAAGACAACATAAAAACCTCAAAAAAACATTAAAAAAAACATGAAACCTTCTAATTATGGCTCAAATGCATCAAATTTTACTTCATTTTGAAACTTTTGGAAAATAGTCCAGACTGGTATAAATAACAGTAATTGACAAGGAAATTGTAGTCAATAATCAGTCCCACTTTCCTAGTGTGCCCTGTTGTGCAAGTCAATAGAAATTGAGGAAGAAAAATTTCACTACCATTTGAGCTCTGGGAGTCCAGAGCTCTTACAGCACTGGTATATTTTCTTGCTGATTTCTGCAGACTTTAGGCAAGTATTACCCTGAAAATGGGGGACACCTGGTACTCTAGGAAATTTGAAAACTATTGTTTTAAAACAACTCACCTGGCTCTGTGACCATACTATGCGATGTTATGTGACAAAAAGAGAGTTAATGTTGACATCAAGAAACTGACAAATGTGTGTGAGACTTTCCTCAATATTCTGCTTTCAGTTGTCACATGTTCTAATAGAGATTTTTGTAATTTTAAATCACATTTTCAGGGATGATGATGGCAGTGATGAGGATTCCCCACCACCAGGGACTGCTTCAATAACTTCTTTTTTTGCTCCCAAAAAGGATTCAGTTGTTTACCAAAGACACCAGTTCTTCCGAGACCGTCATCTAGAACCTGTGAATAGTTTCTAGAGAAGAAAACTGTTGAAAATAGCCACCATGTGTATAAGCTACTATGGAAGTAACTTCATAGTTCTCGTGCTTTTCTTTGATTAAGTTGTTCCTTTTCTAAGATTGCTTTAGAACTCCTTATAAACTGCACTAGAAAAATATTTACTACCTCTCACACCTTTATTCAATAAAGTTACAGATTGAGAATGTTTCAAATGATCTCTTCTCTTACAGTAACATGCTGAAGGGGTTTGCATAACATTCAGTAAAGAGTTCCATCCTATTCAGGTTAAGTAATATGAAGTAAAAATATCAAAATATTCTCACTATAAAATTAACTCTATAACCTCTCATTATTTCATAATAATTTCATTCCTAAACTTTTCTATCAATTTTTTTCTTCATGGGAAAACAGGTAAAAATATATGTGCCACAATCAAACCCCAGTTAAGTTTTTGTGGCAGAAGCTTTCTATTTAAAAATATGTAAAAATATTTCAATATTTTTTCCAAGGGAAAACTAGTAGATATATATTTTAAAAACTGAACAAGTGCTTTTCTTGAGGCCCCATTAAAAGTGGAGTTTAACTCTTAACCCCTGAGAGTGACTTGCATCTAATTTCTCCTTACAATATCATCTCTAAATCATACATTAAGGTCACAAGAATAATGAAAATGGAGCTCTTGATTATTAAGCAAATTCTCCTTTTCAGCACCCTAGGAAATTTATAGAGAACAGTATGGAGAATATGCATACTGATCTTAGGGTGTTAACTTAAGAGTTAACTTATGTGCTACTGTTAAGGCTGATAACCCTTAACTCCCATTAGTGACTGAGAAAGAATTTCTCCTAACTATATCAATACAATATCAAGTAGACTAGTGATTAGGATAGAGAAAAATATCACTTGAGGATTATTGGTTGATCCAATATTAAATTCTAATATCATGAGAATTATATGAGACAGTACAGAGAATTACTTATGAGATCTTGGGAGTGAAAGGGTATCTGATTGGCTGAGACCATTTAATCAATATAATATATAGATTTAGCCAAGCCTAAAAGCAGAGCTCGCATTTTTTTCCCCGCACGTCTCAAGGGTATAACACCTTGCCCTGGCCAGGACTAGAACCTGGGTAGTCCAACTTGGAGCCCAGTGCACTGACCACTGGATTACTGAACAAAGCCGTGGCGTTGGCGTGCCGTGGCATGTTAAAAGTACCACCTTGTACAGTCATACATCCAAATTTTTTCACCTTGATGGGTTACTGCTATTTTGTGTAATTATGGGGCTACGCTCTGCGAGCTCCACCAGAATAGCATGTGAAGTTGACATGATGATACAATTTCTGCAGCAGATGTTGCATTTATTATGTTGAGTTCAAAGTCTGCTAAGTTTCTGAGCTCTCCATCCGTAGAGTATTCTCAAACTTTTGAAAACTCAGGGTGAAGTTTCTGCTTTTGCAGATCATTTTAAAAAAATGTATAATAAACCAATTTCACATGATATCATCAATTATCAAACCTTGGGTCTGTGTTACAATAATTGTGTATTATAAAATCAAGTACACAGGTAAGCTGTAAATAAATTAAAACACTATAAATTTGTTTAAAAACTTAGGTAAACCTTGTTATGTTGAATGTAATCTGTTGAAAGTATAAAATCTTTAATGAATCTTGTCAATAACATTTGCAAATTAGTGTAGATCATTTTAACACTTGTGTGCCAATCTCCTTTAGTCAAATATTCTGTTTTAGTTCCTATCCAAATTTCCATTGTAATCATTAGTGTAATTAAACTAAATAAATCATTGTTCTCCTCATTTTGAGCCATTTTTGTTTATTTTAGTGAACAAGAAGGAAACTGAGGGACTCACCATTAACCCTTTAACTCCCATGAGTGACCAAGACATAATTTCTCCTTACAATATCAATACAATATCAACCAGATAAGTGATGGGAATAATGAAAAATATCAATTTGAGGAAAATTAGTTGATCCAATGATAACTTCTCTGAACTAACATTATAAGAATTGTATGGTTGACAGGAAGGAGAATTACAAATTTGACCTGGGAGTTAAAAACCAACATGTTGGTTATTACTGTTCAGCATATAAAAACCATGAACATCTGAAATATTTTGGGAAAGTTAAAAGTGTTTTGGTCAATCACACTGAAGATTGGGATACATGGGCAAACCACAAAAGCACAAACTAAAGACAGTTCCTATCACAGTTAGGAACAGTTTTCTAGCATCTGCATGGCTTGTTTCTTTTGAAACACTCTGAAACATTCCTACATTCACATTTTTCCAACCTTCAGAACAACATGAGTTACACAGCAGGTTATCAATCCAGGCCCTTTTCAAAGTTGCTATTTGTTGACCTTGAGTCATTAAGTCATCAGAAATTAAATTTCAGTTGCACAAAAAAAAAATTTATTTGCTGTTTCAAGGGAAATCTTAACACTTAATATTCTGACAAGAGAAAATTTTTGGTGAAAACAATACAAAAAAAAAAAAGAATTGTGGTATAAAATTGTTTATCTCATTTTTACAACACTTCTAGCTGCTACTATTTTGGTTGCCCTGGCCACCAGTAAAATGTTGGTGTCTAAATTTGTAAGACCAGTGGCCAATTTGCAGACTTCTATTTGATGATCATGTAGCAAAGTGTATGTATCATAACATGGTTTTTTTTGGTGTGTACCTTAGTTAAAGTGAGATAAACATCTCTTATGAAATGTCACTCAATCCCTACTCTGACATTTTCTCCTGTAAAAATTTACTTCTTTCTACTCAGGATTCAGCCTTAAGACGTTGTGTGAATCTTTACATAAGAAAGGCCAGTTATACTGCTTACTCCAGAAAAAAGCAGCATGGTTAGCATTATTTTTTCTAGAAACCAAAATTTTATCTTTGGCAACCATTTTATGATTTAAGACATCAAATAGATCCTGATCCTAAGCAGTACTGAGAGAAAATTTTAAAGCTTCCTCAATAACCATCAGACACAGCTTGCCAAATCTGCCCCTTTCAATGTTAATTCAGCTGTGAAAAATTTTCTCATCATGAAGACCAAAAAGGTCCCACCTTAGAAGCCTGGATGATGAAAGGCAAGTTTCAGTTTACTAAGATTAATCCTTGACCATATCTTGAATAGTAATGACCACACCCACAACACCACCGACTATACCAAATACCACAATAATTATGTCCTTTATAACTACAGCTACAGAATTGGTGTTTTTGTACAGGACGATGTGAAATATGCATGGTAGAATGTAAGCCAACACTGAGCTTCCTAATGAACCAGTCAGAGCACTCACATAGGCAAATTTATTCTTGAGTGCAATGGCTATCCCTGCTGTTATAGTTACTAGCACTGCACGAAGTAAATTCCTCTTCCAAGTTGCTGTCTGAGAAACAAAAGAAGTAAAGTACAGATAAAACAAGCTTGAAAACAGCTCTCTGTTTATTGAGTAAGAAATAAGAGTTCCAAACATACCTTACATGCTCATAACAAGTTACTGTGGTTGGGATGTAAGACTAATGCAGTAAAGGTCTTTTCAAGTTAAAAGTTTTCAATCATAATTATGATAATAATATTATAATATTACTAGTATGCTTATCACAGCCGATAAATTTTGTCAGGGAGTTAATTTTAACCCTGATCCCCTCAGGTGAGCTGCAATTTAACCCTTTCACTCCCATCAGTGACCAAGACAAAATTTCTCCTTACAACATCAATACAATATCAGGCAGTCAAGTGAAGGAATAAAGAAGAAAACTCAATTAGGGGACTACAAGTTGATACAATGCCAAATTCTCCAAATTGACATCATGAGTATTTTATGGCAGATGTTAGGAAGAATTGCTAATGAGATCTTGAGAGTGAAAGTTGGGGGGGGGGGGGGAATTCTGTTTTTGGGTCAATTTCACAATGCTCTTTTGGAGTCTAAAACTCGCTTGGCCAGTAAATCACCCTGAAATGTCCCAATTCAATGCCTCCCCCCTTGGCTTTTGCCCTTAGTACAAAACTTGGATGCTGCCTCACGTCTGAATTACTGGCTTCTTTTCTGCAAATGCTTAAATTGCAGCTCACCTGAGGAGATCATTGCTTTACTTGAGTGTGCATGTTTTTCTACATAACCATAAGCATCAATGTTTTACGGGGTGGTTTTTTTCATGACCACACCCTTTTATTGTTTAAAACTGAGTCCCACAAAACAAGCCTACTGCATCAATTAAATAAAAATGAAAAAGCATGTTTTAACACACCTATTTGAAAATTGTTCCAACCCTTAAACCCAGAAGTCTCCTTACAATATCATAATTAAATCAATCATTAAGATCATGAGAATAACGGAAATGATCAACAAGTACAGGAGTTATTTATTGTTAAGCAAAATCTCCTTATCAGCACCTTAGGAAATTCATAGAAAACAGTATGGAGAATATGCATATTGATCTTAGGGTGAAACAGGTTAAAAAATGCCCATAATTTGTTCCATGTGATGGTTGGCTATCTCTGAATACAACTGTACCTTAAACTGAAGTTCTTCTGTCTCCTTTGGAATAAGAACTTGAGTCTCCGAATTTACACTGGTGGACAAATCATCTGGTGAGTTTGACACAGGATAGTGAGAGTCAATGCTATTAGAGTCCACAGGAGAAACTGGATTGCTATCTGGATCCATACTTGGACCTGCAATAACTGCACCTAGGTGAGATTTACTTTTGGAATGGATCTTAGTGAATAAAACAGACTCCGCAATTTCAATAACTGGGTAGAGTTGGAGAGGGTAGGTCATCATAACAGCTATGATAAGTGTGAACCGCACTAACTGTGCCACAATCCCTGTCTGCAGCCTATCTGTTACAATCTGTGGAACAGTGCTGCCATAGATCATGTAACCAAGTATTCCAAATGAACCAAGAATGAAAGAGACTTGTGCTAGTGCTATGTGAAGGTAGAGGGGGAAACGAGGCCGGTTCTCCGCCATGCTGGATTCAATAGGTATTACCTACAAATAACAAGAGGATTTAATTTGACAACATAATTTTAAGTAACTCAAAGAGTTCAAGGTGTTCATTTTATATTAGATATTGCAGAATTATCATGTCATCATGATGAATTCTTTGACTAAATTTCAATGGCTTGAGCTTTTTCTGATTGAGATGCAGAGAATCTTTTCTTCTGTTATTTAACACTTTTCTCCCACAACTATATTTGTTCATGATACTTCTAAGTAAGTAATAATAGGAATAAGTTAATTTAAAATTAAAATAATCAAACTAGCTTGGAAAGAACTTGAGAATTCACAGGACATGAACCTGTGATGCCCATTACTGAGATGCACAAACCAAATAAGTCACGAGGCAGGTTCCAATTTGCCCTCAAATGGTGATCATGTGTCAAACACTGAGATAACAAAATTATTGTAAATTTTAAGTAACAAGAACATTATGAGGTTAAGCTCAACAACAAAGTAAAAAGTTTAAGTTTTTTGTTGAAAAAATTTTTTTGACAATAAAAATTCAGCACTCACAGTTCCTATCCCCTCATAAGCTCCCGTCAGCTGTCCAAAGAAGATTGGGAAGGTGGACAGTTCGGCATAACTGACATCTTTCAGATTAAACTTTTTTCCTACCAGATCAGATAAGAATTTGATAAAATATATCTTTTGTTTAGAGCTAAACTTTATATTTATTTATGTTTATGCTAATTTCACATAGCATCAAGATTAATGTGGAAGTAATGAGAAAAATCAGTCTAGGTAACCACACAAAGCATACAGCTGGCAGGAGATTCAACTACTACTAACAATATTTTCATTTACTAAAGAAATTCTACATTAGGCAGTTGTACACGGTTAGTGCTTACCCCTCAACAGAAATGCAAGAAGCCCAAAAAAACCAGCAAGTAGTGTCACATTAGCAACACCGCTGATTGGTCCAAGTTTACGAATGCTCTTCACAAAGGCCATTGCAACAAGGAAAGGGAAAGGAATTAATACAAGGAGGGAGAATTTAGGTGCTGTCTTAGTGCTATGGAGTGGAGGTATCATTGAAGAGGAGTTCATCCATATCATTGAGTAGTGGGTCATTCTTGTAGCACTAGTTGGTTCAGACAATGTTGCATTTACAACTGGGATCACAGTCTCAGATTTGTATTTGAGAGGAAACATTTCTCCTATGGTATTTCCAATAAAGATGAAATAAGCAACGCAGAACCCTAACTGTGTGATTATTAATGCTGTGTTGACAAGTCTCAATCCCCATGGTCCAACTGCGATTTTTCCAATGTCACCAAGTGTCATTTCCTTTTCAATAGTCTCCTTGACTTTTTCCATCTCGTCATACAAAGCTTCTGTTCGGAGTTCTTGGTATCTTGGAGTTGAGTTAAGAATCATATCCACAGCAGCATTTTTGCATTTAATTATAAGTTGACAGCAATGGTCTGTTATTAAGGCAATGATTACTAGTCCAACAGCTCCAAGCTGTAATTAAACAACATTGCAAAGAAATTAGAATTCCAACATGTAACAATTAAGACTTCATTAGCCCTGTGTAGTTGAGCAAGAACAATCCCTTGATTTTTCGGCCATTTTTGAAAGTGTTCAGAAGTAGTTGATTGTTGTTTCTCACCATAAAACTGGGCTAAGTCCTTCAACATGTCAACTCAACCTTGCCCATATAAAATGTAGTAGACAGAATTCCTAGGTTATTACATGTAGTTTCTTAGCAGGTGAAAAAATTTGTTACCAGTTTTTAAGTTGATTAAATTATGTAAACTGCTAATGCAGTGAATTTTAAAAAGCTGATGGTTCTCACTTCAGCCTTTGATTGCAGCAAATAGAACTTATTGTAACCTTTCACCCAAAAAGTGACTAACATCTAATTTCTCCTTAGAATATCACCCCTGAATTACACATTGAGGTCCCAAAAATACTGTAAATTATCTCTATTGACTGTTAAACAAATTATCTCTGTCAACACCTAAGGAAATGTATGGAAAATTTGCACATTTACTGATGTAAGAGTGTAAAGGGGTTAACCCTTTAAGTCCCACTAGTGACCTAGACAGAATTTCTCCTCACATCATCTGTATGATATCAAGCAGATGAGTAATGAGAATAAAGAAAATTTTCAATTATGGGATTATTGGTTGATCCAATCTTTAATTCTCCAAACTAACATCACATAAATTGTGTGGCAGACTGTAAGGAGAATTACTAATGAAATCTTGGGAGTTAAAAGGTTAAAAGACATTAAATTAACTCACCACTAATCCACTCTTACTAAAAGCAAATGGTAATGCCAAATAGCTTGTTCCTATAAAAGCCTTCAGAACATTTGCAAAATCTGTAAACTGCTGCCAAGCTGAGGGTCTGGTTATGGTAAAGAAAAATGTAAACATATCACATAAGTACAGCTTTACCTGTGTAAGGACCTTTCAAGTTTTTCCTTTTTTTTTAATCACCACTTCTTTCCTAACCTTGAATTTTTTAACTTTGTTTCCTTTTTTCCTTTTCATTCATGAAAGTAACAGTATTTTACACTTAAGATTAATGGTAACCACTACAGTTTGACCATATCCTGATGTGTACTAAATATAGAAATGACTTGAGAAAGTTATCTGGGGAATCATATTTCATTTTGATTTGATATCCTTTTTTTTTGTATTCATTAATTATTTTTGTTCTTTCGGTTTGTCGTTCATTTTCATATAGCCTGTAAACTGATTAAGTGAAAAGGGCTACTACTGGAATACGTGTTGCACTTTCACATTTTTGTTTCCAAGACAATTACATTTGTATTGCTATACGCTACATAGCTACAGCTGAGTAAACGCGCACAGCGCACCTACTTTTTCCACCGCAACTGAACTTTTTGGTAATATTGACAACTTTGAAGAAGCTTATAATTGAATTTGAAGTCCTGATGAGATCTCAAAATTTGTCCTTGTTCCCGGGAAAAAGAATAACGGGATCGGGAACCAATACAGCTGTTAAAAAATTGAATCTGTCACGCGGTAGTGTTTACACTACAGCGTGTAATCAGGAACGCAAAACCGGATTGATAATTGATTCCATGGGGAAGGCCTCGAAAACTGTTTCAGTCGAACCTTTCGTTTCAAGCGATCATGTTTAAATTTTTACTGCCTTCATGAAACATTGACTGCCTAGATGCACGTGAAAGATGTAAGCGTGCGGGTGTTAGCGTGGAAGCAAGAAAGCGAAACCGGAAATAATTGATTCCATGGGGAAGGCCTTGAAACCTGTTTCAGTCGAACTTTTCACTTCAAGCGATCATGTTTAAATTTTCACTGCCTTCATGAAACATCAACTGTCTAAATGTATTTGCAAGGTGTGAGCGTGCGGGTGTAAGCGTTTGTCAGTAAATCGATGTAATCGAACAGCCGAATCGAATCTCCAATGGATTAAAATCAACATCATCGATCCGGAAGTGAATAAAAGAAGGAAAACTTTTGGAATATTGATCATCTGCGAATTATTTTTACAGAGTAAGTCAAGATCCATGTTTTAAACGAATGCTCAGTCCATTTAAACCATCCAGGCATTCAGGCCAGCCAAACTGCACAGGTCAACGCAATCGTGGCTTACCTTACAAGGGTCGCTTGAGAAGTCCTGGACGTAACAGACACATGGCCTGTCATGTTTTTGATGAAACAGCGTAATCAAGTTCTTTGTATGCGTAAGACAGACTACTGAAGCTGGTACACGGTCTCGTCAATCGACAGCAAATACCGCAAACTGCTCTATTATCCCGCCAGCTGATTTGCGAGAGAATGGAGACACGGGCGTCGATGTCACATGATATGTTACCACGTGATAGGAGTAGAGCTGAAGTGTGACAAGGCGATGAAAATATCGTAAACACATAAAGTTTTTATATATTACGATGCGTTCGTCAATTTCTTAAATTAAGAAAAAAAAAAAACAAGACCGTTGTAGTTTTAGTGAGAACTATTACTAGTAGGTAGACAATACAAAAGTAGAATATGACGATTTTCCTATTTATAGATCTCTTGGGGTTACAATAGGTGGGGGACTGAAATGTACGTAGCAAACATCGATTATGTCACAGGATTTTGTCAATGTTTATTGTTAGCCAAATAATTTTTAAAAAACCCAAGAAGTGGTCACTCTATTCTCGTATATTGTGATATTAATGAATAGCTTCAATAGGAAACCATAGTTATTATTAGGGTATATTTGTAGTATTCAGACCTCTAAGGAAACGGAAGTACGTAAAATATAACACAGCTGTCACGCAACGATGGAATGTTCGTGAAACAAATGATAGTGCAGGTCATGCGCATGTCACGGATTTGTCAAACAGTTATACTTTTCTAGCACGGACGCCGAAGAAAGTCATTGAAATCATTATTTAAGGGTTACTCTCAAGTTATGGGTAAAAATGGATGAGCCAAAAGAATACTTCTATGGCCGTGCCGAACGCTCGGCGAGTTTTACGGATGTAAACGACTGTAGTAATCTATGGAACGAAGACGAAGTCATCGCAATGGACATTTACACTGCTTGTGCTATCGGCGAATACAGCTGTGTACAACAGCATCTAGCAGATGGAGTGGAGTTAGCCGATCTTGATAAACCCAACTGTGGTGGGTGGACTCCTCTAATGTACGCTGCTTACGTTGGCCATGACAATATAGTTAATCTGCTCCTCGACTACCATGTTAATGTGAACGCGACTACAGCAGAAAATGGGGCTAACGCGCTTATGCTTGCGGCAAGTTGTGGAAATGAATCTGTTGTTTACTTCCTACTGCAGAACGGTGCTAAGATCGATGCTCAGGACAAGAGAGGTTGGACTGGTTTGTTTTATGCAACGTACCAAGGACATCACAAGGTTGTACAGTTGTTGTTGGAGAACGGTGCTGACATGGAGTTAAGGTATTCAATATTCCCTTCATTCTAAATTATTTAAACCTCTTGAATAATCTTTTTTTTTTTTTGCGTAAATGCGCACACGATTGAAGAAAAGTTAAAACTGATACCGCCCTAATAAATTAAACTTCTCACGGTGTCATTTTACCCACTGATTGTGAGGCATTTACTTTAGAATAATCTTCCAGGTAACAGATGAATATAAATTTTTACGGTGACGATCAACAATAGCGGAGTGCATCAAGTATGCAAAGTGGAGTTTTACCTTTCTAGAAATTCTTTTTTATTTTCGTTTTTTTTTTTAAGCCAGTAAGAGCGTATAAGAAAAAAAGAAAGGAGATGTATGTTTAATAACCCATTTCCCTGATACATCACAATGCATATTCTCCATACTCGTCTCTTTGCTCACAAGGGGAATTTGCTCAAAAATCAAAAGCTTATTTTGTTGGTTATCCTTTCCTTTATTCGTGTCACCTAACTGTGTGATTCAGGGTTGATATTGTGAAGAGAAATTACAATTATGGAAAAAAATATTTAATGATGGACCAAACTTGCCAAGGCCCTCAATTTTTACAATTAATCTCCTATAAATAACACATAATAGATGCTAGTTGCCTTTAGGAGTTAAAGTTTTAGTTTTCAATTGATTTTAGCACATTTTCCTCACAACAAAAAGCAATTAAATAATATGTAGCACAGCTCCCGAGATGAAATGATGTTGAGGTTCTTTCTTCAGAGAGCAGAGGATATTTGAATTAGATTTATTGATTTTCTCTCTCTTTGTAGGGAATATAGATTTGGCCTGACTCCGTTACTGGCAGCTGCAAAGGAAGGACATGAAGTCATATTTGAAGAACTTGTTAGATGCAATGCAAACATGAATGCCCACACAAACCGTGGAGAGGATGCACGATCTTTGGCTCTGCGGAAAGGGAACATGACTGTAGTAAACGTAATTAATCAGCAGGCCTTTCTCAATATGCCAAACATTATGCTGCGGAGTGAACCTGGTCTTGTACCTGATGACAGTGACCATGTTGAAGATAAGGTTTGTGCAGCGCTTCAAGGAAAGAATGTGATCCCAAAGGTTGGGATTCAAGATGGACCAGAGGCCTTTAAAAAGTTGATGAGCAGTCATCAGAATGATGGAAAGCCAGTGAATATTCCTAGTATGATGGGAGAACAGGAAAGGGCCAGCCATTTTGTCGGAAGTCCATACTGTTTAGCCAACACACCAGGCACTCCTGTTGGTAGTTATGAATCTGAGCACTTTTTCATTAACTGTGGCAGAACTGTTGAAAGTGCTAGCTTGCATAAAAAACTACAGAAAATGCACAGTACTGGAAGTGATGCCAGTAGACAACTTCAAGTTGGTGAAGCTTCACCTATGAAACCAACTATTGCAAACTTTCTGGAAGATTTGAATTTGACAAAATATATTTCCATATTTGAAGATCAAGATGTGGATTTTATTACACTACTAACCCTCACAGACAGTGATCTAAGAGAAGTTGGAATTTCATTGTTTGGTCCAAGAAGGAAAATTCTTACAGCAATATCAGACTGGAAGGAAGAAAATAATTATTTGAACACAGAAAATGACAGAAAAGCTCTGGAGGAATGCCAACATCAAGCTCACAAAATAGAAGCACAGCTTCTTAATGCCACTTCTGAAGTGAAGCAGCTTCAAACTCTTCTCTCTCAGGAGAAAGACTTGCGTCTTTGTGTTGAAGGTTGTCTTGTGGAAGAGAAGGCTAAACGACAAGAGATTTACATGAGGGTGTGTCAAATGAGGGAACACTGGCAACAAGTGGAAGAAGAAGGGGAAAATTTAAAATCTCTATGCAGAGAATTAGAAGAGAATGGTAACTTTTCTCAGGCAAGAGTGAAAGAGGTGTATTGTAAACTAGCAAGCTCTATTGAAAATCTGGGAAAGGTTGTTCAGTTAGGTAAAACTGGTATCAGTTCTATTTTGTATGTGGATCAGAATTCCCAAGATGGGAATTCCTCTGAATCCTCTGGTAATTCAAGTTCCTAATCTTAACTCTTTATAAACGTGAGCTGACGAGCAAGTCTCACACAATACAATGTGGCATGAAAGTTACATATGATACACTGCTTAGCTTCCTATGTTCCTTGCCCCATTTATCCATTTTGTCCCAGTGATTTGGTGTAGCTATTGTTCCTGTTATGTAACCAAGTTGTTTTAACTCTGAGGGCCTGGGGGGAATCTTTTCATGATCTGGGCAACCACAAATCATTAGGCATTGACCATCAAGCACTTTGCTACTAACCTTCACGGTGTTTTTTGCGTAACTTTACTATTCATTATTCAATATAAAGGGTGAAATTGTGGTGAAGTTGTGGTGGTATGCTTTTAAAATCACTCATTTGCACTGAATAATCAATTCTGGTGTAACATAGATAGATGTTATTGAGAAGTCAGATGAATTCTTGTTTCTGATTCCATTTTATAACTTCTGCTTGTGCGTGTAGATACTCTTGGCAAAGCTTCTATTTAGTACTTTCTATTTAGAGTACAGCTCATCAGTTCTTATCTTCTCTTTCTCTTGGTGATAGATAAACTTGTTGATTGGCCACTGATGTGATGTAATGTCTTAGATTTTTCATTGAATTTGGCCTGAAAATACTAGCTTGTATATGGTCTTTTGTTGCTTACAAAATAAATTGAAATGTTACTTAGTAGACAGTTAAACTTCTTTCTTGCAGTAAAGGCAGTAAATGCTTGTGAATATTTCTTCCAATTATTTTGTTAATGAAGTTCTTGTTACTGGTAAGTTTTACTTTGAAATTAATTTATTGAGATTAATACTTATGAAAGATATCAGCAGTATCCTCACCCCTCAAGGGATTGGGACAGAGAGATATCAGCAGTATCCTCACCCCTCAAGGGATTGGAACAAAGAAATTCTGACACACTTCAGAATTTAGTCAATAAGTACCCCAATATGCATTGCATCATTTATTCAATAAAAATTAATTTATTAAGAGTTTATGGAATTCAGAGTTGAGGTGTCCTTACCCCTCAAGGGATTGTGGGGTAAGGATACTGTGCTGCAATGCAGATTGATTCGATTTATGGCTCTATAAAAAGAAATTGCACCATTATTGAATAAATATTTTATATTTGAGACTGATCTTAAATTTTTGTGTCAAAGTGAAGTAAATTTTGTTATGAAGAAACTCAAACAGGCAAAGGTACATGCATGTAAAGTAGAGAGCCACATAACAAGTTTAGTAACTGGAGAGGATGTTAAAGAATAAAATCAACTGTTTTCATTTACAAAGGTTCTTGACCAAGTTGTTCAAAGTTAGGGTAAGATAACCTGGTGTTAGTGTGAAATCTGACCTCAGATCTGAAAGCTTTAAAAGAATATTCAGTCTATTTATTTTTGCTTACAATTTGATGCCTGAAAGAATTTAAGAAATTATCTGGAATAGACTTTGAAGAAGGGATTAAAGAAACCCAGATTAAAACTTAACCCCAGGTTAGCCCTTATCGGCCTTCAAACAACTGGGCCCTGTAGTCAATCTGGGGTGAGACTTTGTCTCCAGTACCCAGTCTCTCACATCAATGATTGCCAACTTTTGTCCTTTAGTGCTGAAAGATAGCTGGGTGAGTGAAGCACTTCTCCAATTTCACTCTTTAGTCTCCACTTCATTATTTCTGCCCTCTACCACCCAAAGTTAACACAAATAAAAACAAGACAATATTTATGGAAATTTCTATTTTTTTGTGTGTTTTTAAACTTATCTTGCTCATTTTTCTTTAAACAGTTTTCTCCATTGGAAGTTTTAAAACAAACACCTCTGGTGAAAGCAAGCCCTTATCCAAGTTCACTTTTTTGTCTCCACTCTCCACATCATCATTTTTGTTCTCTACCACCCAAAGTTAGCACAAATGAAAACAAAACAATATTTATGGCAATTTCCATAATTTTAAATTGCACTTTTTAAACTTATTTTGCTAACTTTTGTTTCAACAGTTTTCTCCATTGGAATTTTTAAAATAGTTTTTAAAGAATCATTTTTTGCCTGCATCAACACTTGATGATTGAGAAGGAAACATTACTCAGGCATATCTTCTACTTGTATATGCTTGGTTGTGAATGTCAAAAATCAATCATTAATTTCTACAATTATATTTTTTACGATTCCTTACCCACTGGGTTTCCTTTCAGTATGTATAAAATGAATTGGAACAAATGTTTCCCATAAAAAAATTCCTCCTGGAAATAGTTGAACATAGCTGCAAAGCAGCATAACTATGAAAATTTGAAGCCTAATATTTCAGATTAAAATAATAAAATAAATTATGAAAAAACATAAAGCTACTCTTTATAGGTAGTTTAACCCTTTAACTCCCAGATCAAATTTGTAATTCTCTATACTGTCAACCATACAATTCTTATAATGTTAGTTCAGAGAATGTAGAATTGGATCAACTAATCATCCCCAAATTGATATTTTTCATTATTCTCATTACTTGTCTGCTTGATATTGAACTGATAGCCTAAGGAGAATTTCTGTCTTGGTTACTAGTAGGACTTAAAGGGTTAAAACATTCTCAATTGTAAACAATTGTTATTAACTTTTAGTAAATTGTTGAACAATCTGTTCTATCGTTATTGTTACACCTACAACCCCTCCGATGATACCAAAGGCTATAAATAAACAATCTTTGACTTTGATTAGCATTGTATTCGAGTCTTTACAAAGTACCAAGTGGAAAATACAAGGTAAAATGAAGCCCAGGGTAGCACTTCCAATGGAACCAACAATAGCACTAACATATGCAAAATCATCTTTCAGTGCTATAGCAATGCCAGCAGTTGTCAAAACTATAAAGGTTCGCAGCAGATTTTTCTTCCACTTCCTTGCCTGTAAACAGGAGAGGAATCGAAAGATTAAACTATGCACACATGGTACACTAAATGCTAGTTGGGATAACCTTTGAGATCCAGGTTGGACATGTAGTATCCTCCAATTTGTGTGAAATTCCCCCTAAATTTCACGCTGCTGGGAGTACACAACATAATCTCATCCCCCTTTGGAGGGATAAAATGCCAGACAAATCTGTTTGTAGGATGCTGGGTGGTTTGAAATGTCAGGACAGCAAATTCATGAATTTAGCCATGTCTAACAAAGATCACACAGTCTAACTAATAAGACACTCCAGACTCCAGACCTTTTCAAAGTAATAGAAGATTCTCCTACTTTTTAAAAGTTTTGATTGTTTTGAAGAGTGCTTATCACATAGAGTGGAGTATTGTCTAATGGGTGTCATAAATACTGTACATATCAAAACAGTATCAGGTCTGGTTCAAATAACCACAATAATGAAACAAATAAAATAATCTTCTTCACTTTCTGTGCCATTTTTTCCTTTTTACTTACCAAGCTTTTCTGTTTTGGTATTTCTGGTGCAAGTAACCAAGAACTTTCACTGGCCTGTATTCCTACAGATACATCAGATGATTCACTGTTAGTGCTGGTGCTGGTCTCCACTGCAGTGTTATTGTCAGATTTAAACAGCCAACCCTCAATGATCTCTATAACTGGAAAGACCTGGAGAGGATACGTCAGGAGTATAGCAAAGCACAGCAAACATCGAACCACTTGAATCAATGCTCCTGAAGGAAAGCTTTCTGTAACAATCTGATTTACTTCTTCCCCATACACTGTGTATCCAAGAATACCAAAACAACCAAGAATTACTGAAAGGGATCCAACAGCAAAGTGTAAATACAAGGGGAATCTGTGTCGGTTCTCTGCCATGCTGGTTTCAATGGGAATCAACTGAAAAAAGAAAAAATTCAAATGAAACATTTCCTACTGATGATTTTAAAAGAGCACCATTTTACCAAAAGGTAAGCTTACAATGAACTGGGATTATGTCCAGGGTACTTAAGATCCCAGCATCAGAGTAAATTCTCCACATACTACACAGAATTCTTTAGCTAAATTTTAATGGCAAGAGTTAAACCATTTTTTACACAGATAAGGAGACTATTCTCCCTTGTAAATACAGGTCTTAATGGTAACCCAACAGAATGGGTGGCATAAAGCTAATCAAGCAGGAGGTTAGCTCCAGATCTCTCTCACCAGGCCAAGTGTGAATGACTAATGGAAGATGATAAGCTTTTGAATTGATCACTCACTGAAAGTTACTTGCTAATGAAGTATACAGAAGACATGGGTGATGCTTAACCCTTTAACTCTCAAGATCTCTTTAGTAATTCTGCTTACTGTCTGTCAAATGATTCCCATTATGTTAGTTTGAAGAATTTGGTATCGGACCAATTAGTAATCCCATCATTGACATTTTTCTTTATTCTCATCACTTGTCTGCATGATATTGTATAGATATAGTGAGAAGAATCTCTATTTTGGTCACTCACAGGAGTTAAAGGGTTAAGGACTGAAGCATGTAAAAGGGAAGAGGATCATTACAGAAAATCCTCCACATTTTTCAAGAATTGAGGACGGATAATGGAGGATCCATTACCAAATGGAAATTATCAAGTGCAGAACTAACAGAAATAAAAAACAACTACATTAAAAAAAACAGAATTGTGTTTCTCATATTGATAATTTCTACCAAGCTTTTATGATTTTGAAAGGTTACATCCCTTCCCTTCCCCCTCTCAGTAACCCTTGTCTACTAAATGTAACAATGTCAAGTCTATTATTTAACTAGAAGTGAAAAGCCCAGCAGAATACTTACAGTTCCAATTCCTTCATAAGCACTGGTCACTTGGCCAAAAAAAACTGGAAATGTAGCCCAGTTTGACAGCCTGATTTCCTTTAGTTTGAATTTTAAACCTACATGCAAAACAAATTGGAACAAGACTTGTCTGACTAGAGCTAATTAATCTGCTACCGCTATACATAAAAATATTTTAGGACTCTGGTTAGGGTTAATAAAATAGATACAGAAATGAATCAGCACAAATCAATTTTGGGTCATTAAAAATAATATCTTTTGTCTTTTGTCTGTCAGTGTAACCATATTTGGAATGACCAAAGAATTATTATACCACACAAGTCAATATAACTTTTTGCAAGCCTTGATTGGCCAGCTCCGAGCTGATTAGCAAGTATTACTGACCTTGGAGCAATCAAAAGAGACAAAATTGAAAGGCTCAGAGCATGCCAAAATTCAACTACTTCTGAACACTTTCAAAAATGGCCGAAAATCAAGGGATTGTTCTTGCTCTGAGCCTTTCAATTGTGTATCAAGAGTTTAATTTCTGACTATTTTTTTCAACATCATCAGGGAAGAAATTTTTGGTTCTTGTGTGGTATATGCTAAAAGAATTAATATCTAACTGAGTCTTGGTGAAAGTGTTGGAAGAGTTATCTCCACTTTGATGCAAATCATAGTTGTTAATTATCCTGTCTGGCCAGTTAACCCTTTGACTCCTGCAAGTGATCAACAAAAAACTTCTTCCTATGACATCCTTACATTATCCAGCAAACAGGTGATGAGAATATCCAAACTTATCAGTTAGAAGTTGTTATCTTGATCTAACAACAAATTCTCATTACTAATTTACAAGGAAATATGTGGCAGCTTGAGGGGAGAATTAACAATTTGATCTTGGGAGTTAAAGGGTTAAAAATCATGATAACATGAAACTTACCACTTAACATATATCCCACTACTGAAACAAAAGCCACCAGGAGAGCCACATTAGCTGCAAAACTTACTGGACCCAGTTTACGAATACTTCTAATGTATGAAAACAGTATCAATGGGATCAGTGGCACAAGAATGAGCAGAGCAAATGCAGGAGGATGGTAATTCCCATGTGACTTTGCTGTAGTATTTGTGTCATTGGAAGAATTATGTGGTGGAGGAAACATTGATGTAATGGTGTTGCCCAAAAAAATGAAATAACCAATGCAGAAGCCATACTGTGTGGTAAGAAGTGCTGCATTTACAAGGAACACTCCCTTCTTGCCCAAAGCAATTCTACCAATTTCTCCAAAAAACATCCTTTTCTCTACAGTGTTTCGCATGTCAGTCATGTCTGTATCCAGGGATTCAATATCATCTGACTTTGGGGCTGAGTCTAGAACAATTTGGACGGCGGCTTTCTTACACTTGATGATCAACTGGCAACAGTGATCTGTGATGAGTGCAATGATAACGATTCCCACACATCCAAGCTGAAAAGAAATGATCAACATTAAATTTATTGCTTGATTGATATTTGTACAGTACCACTCAGAAAATGTTAACCAAAAAAAAAAAAAAAATTAAGATGGTTTGAGACAATTTAAACAAGGACATTTTTTAAATCACATCATGTAGTTCAAAATGGCCTCTTCACCATCCATAGCCTAAAGGAGACTTAAGTTGACAAATATACTACAATAAAACAGTTTTATCAATAAGCAGCTAACTTTTGACTTACCACAATTCCACTTTGTTTAAAAGCAAATGGCAGACCAATCCAGTTGGTTCCAATAAATGCTTTAAAAACATTTGCAAAATCTGTGACTTGTCTAAACACTGACGGCCTAAAAAGTGCAGCAATTATCGTCAGTTTAGCCAAGAGTAGAATATTTATGAGAATAAATTAGAACCAGGCTAATGTTTTCCCTTACAATAAGTATTTCTAGACAAATCATGGTTTCATCTGAACCAGATGCCAGACCAGTCCAAGTTATTTCACTATTTGTATTTCGTAATAAAACCTCTTATAAATTCCTGGGAAAGGAGGAGAACAGTTATGGTAAGGTGCCATGCCATGGAACAATGCACAGTACTCAATGCTAGAAGTTAATTGTGAAAGGAAATGCAAATGTACCCACATACTATCAATAACTACAACTGTGCTGACTTGCTGATGGCCAAGACAATACTACATTATCAAATCTATCATGAATAAAAACAAAAAAACAAATGAATATACAGTAACTTTTTACTAGTCATGTTTAAACGGTTCTAAAATTTTGAAAACAAGTTAAAAAAAAAAACACCGAGGGTATACCACAGGGTTGGATTGCATGCACCGTTAGTAATTTTCACTGTTTTCGATAGAAACTGAAAATTTATGTGTGAATTTCTTCATAACGACATTTAACAAAGGGTTAACGAAAATTAATTACATTCATTCAAATGTCTTTACAAAATGTAGATGGATCGGACTGTATAATGTTTTCAAAGTTTGTTTCCATCACGGAAATCAACATTTACTTCTGATCATTCAAAATTTCGATCTCGCTCGAACCTCGCCATCGAACGAATATGACGATAGAAGCCCAATCAACTGAAAATACACACTTGACAAATTAACAATCGACATTATACCCATACCGCGACTGAAACGCAAATGATAACCGCACTGTGCTTGTTCTGATTCACAGACAATTATTTTGCAATCCATGAAGAGCCATACTGCCATATCAGGGTCAAATAAGCTCTTGATTAAGAGGAAAATTATACCCACCTTATTAAAGGTACGCTAGATACACTTGACGGCATTTTCTTGTACCCTTCTCCTATCATATTTTACGGTTTTTAACACTGATGTATCACAGACACGATCGTTCACGTAGTAATACACACAAATGTGTGATGTGATGAATTTTCCCAGTAAAAGTACTCACGCCAAGTTTATAGGCATCGAGCACTCGTTATGAAAACGAGGCCAAGTAAAATCACGCAAGGTTTGACCGGAAATGGCGGGCTTGAATACGTAACGTTACGTGTAAAAATAAATCTCGAGAACGTTCCCTGGCAGTCTTTTAAAAATTCTTCGATGGTAAAAGCATCAACCTTTGTTACAGTAGATCTTCCGATGCTCGCCTAAAGTAAAATTTTCAAAGACTGCTTTAAATCGTAAGGAATAATCTTCAACACGATTTGCCAAACTGCTGTTGCTACACGTCTTTCAGATAGATTTTGTAAGGGGCGGGCAATCTTGCGTAATCGCGTATGTAACACTAGGGGATTAATCTCCATTTCTCCCAGGTCTTTTGTATTGTTTTTTCCCTTTGTCCTTAAGAATCTGTATAAAAGATAATGAAAGCATCTTAGCGCTGTTTGCGGTATACCGTAGGACTACTAATGACCATTATTTGACATGAAGGGCTGGTTCATGAGGTCACGCTGACTGCAGGCATGGGTTCTTTACCTCTTATTAGAGTATTTATTTTACAAGTTACTTTATGAGGCTAAAACTGATTAATGTAATGAAAATATATCACGAATGTTCTTGACAGGTACTAATAATTTACTTCAGATTGTATATAAGTATCTGCACTTAAGCGTTTGTTCAGGATCCCTAAAAAAAACCCATCCTTTGCATCAAACATCTATAGAGTTTCTACCTCTCTTGAAGTAATCGCTCAGTGTTCGATAGAGATCAGCAGCAATTTAACCGCAAGTTGATTCTGTGAAATAACGAACAGGTTGAACAAAAATCGCAAAGGAACTCAATCGTTCATGATTGCAAGTAATGACGAAAAACTTGATACAAACGTCACTTGGAGGATGATTTCCTGACGCGCCTCCAAATTCTCATAAATAGCTCATGTTTGCGTGTCTTTTCAAACTCTCACCCCTCCCCCCCCCTCCCCCCACCTCTCACCTCATGCAATCGCTGTCCACATAACACGGTCTCCAACAAATACGATAAAGCGGAAATGGAATTTGTTCCAACACCGCTGGAATTTGATGTATCCCCAAATTTCGGATTTCTTCCAGAGAGGGAACCTCTAGTAAGTACATAAGTCTCATCGTAGTGAATTCTTTCAAAGGGAAGACGTCGCTAAAAAAATGACTGGCGAGCCTGTCTTCGCGAAATGTTTGTGAGGATCTCGTGAGACCTGAACAGTTTGATATTTCGGCCCGTTCACAACGATGACTGAAAACCTTGAACTTTTCAACAGATTTGTTGTGTTTGTTCCTTCTTGCATTTTCTTATATTTACAGTCATTTAATTGATCAATGTAGCAATGCTTGCCAGAATACTTCTCTCCATGGGAAAAATTAGCCAGAAATTTACCTCAACTGGTTAAAGAGGGAGAATTTTTTCGTCAGCAGATCAAACAAGTAAGTAAGGAATCAGATCCGTCACTCGTAAATGTTGCTTTTGTCAAATGCTGGGAGTTTTCTTGAATTAAATGATACAACACTCTGGGCAAAAGATTGGCATACTGGAATCCTGTTCTAGAGATGGGGGTTCAAAACTTTGGTGGGTCATTGAATTGTGTTCTTGGGTAAGGCTCATCATCAGGGGCATAGCCAGGAATTTTCAAAGGGAGGGTTCTCATCAGTTTTCGCCACCTGAATATTGTAGGTTGTTTGCTTTAGAAAGGCTTATGAAAGAGGGTTATGGACACCCCTGGACCCTTCCCTCCCTAGTTACCCCCTTGTTCACTAATTCTCACAGTGCCTCACTCCACCCAGAAATTTTAATGTGCACCAGTGAACTGTCAGGGAAGCCTGATAAAATGGTGGGGGTGGGGGGGGGGGGAACTTGCAAGGGACTGCAAGGAAAAACTGCTGATCACTTCATGCTACAAAAACTTAGCTAAGTCCAAACTGGATGGGCCACTTGGTACACATGCATGTAGACTATCCTTACAATTTTACACCTGTTCAAATATTTCTAATTGGATGGTTCAGTATGTTATATTAGAACACAGATCATGAAGATTCAACAATTACCAGGCAGTAAATGTTTTTGACAGCTGTTTTATTGCTGAATGATATTGTTTTTATTCCATAGCTCCCTTTGTTGGACCATAACAAACTTTCATCAGAAGATGAGTGGAAGAGAGCTCAATTAGTTCTTACTTGCATATCCCATGCATATGTATGGTGCAAAGGAGAGAGGGGTGTTGCCAAGGTGAGATCATAATTAGAGAGAGCAAAATTAACCCCCCTCTGGAGTGGCAAAGGAGAGAGGGGTGTCGCCAAGGTAAGATCATAATTAGAGAGAGCAAAATTAACCCCCCTCTGGAGTGGCAAAGGAGAGAGGGGTCATAATTAGAGAGAGCAAAATTAACCCCCCTCTGGAGTGGCAGCATGTAAAAAAGTCAGCCTCAGCTGGAGTGAGCATTGCAATACCCATTAAATGGCCAAGCCCTTTAACTAGAAAGGGTTATGCCCTTCAACTACTAAGACGAAATTCTGTTAAATGGGAATAAGAAAGGGTTTCCCATTTAACTGTTTGAAATTTGATTTTTAAAATTTGATTGGAGTTAAACTTAACTGTGTTTCAAAAAATCTTCTTGTTTATGTTTGTAATGATTTTGATATTTGGTTTGATTTGTGTTTTCATGGCTGGTTTCAGATTCTTCCAAAGTCATTGGCTGTTCCTTGGGTTTCAGTGGCTAAGCATCTAGGTCTGCATTGGCTCTTTTAGTATTTCATGCATTTATTAAATGCCAATATCATATGCAATATAATATTTTGGCTGCATAGTAACTTTCTGTTATTTCTGCTCTGTTTTACATACAATTAGCTTATTTTTCTGTTCAAATTTAAATCAACAAACCCTTTATTGCCTCTTTTTTATTAACTCTTTAAATCCTAGAAGTGATTAACTTCTAACTTCTCCCCACAGCATAAATACTTTATCCAGCAAAGTTAAAACAAGAATACTCAAACTTATCTGGTAGAAGTTTTTATCATAAATCTAGCCTCAAATTCTCATAACCAATTTACAGGGAAATGTGTTGTAGCTAGAGGGGAGAATAAACAATCAGATCTTGGGTGTTAAAGAGTTAAGTAATCAGTCTTTTGATCCACACCTATTTCCACCCCTCCTCCAGCCCTGTCATTTTAAGTGCTAGTTGTTGGATTCAGGCAGCTTGCCAGAAGGAGAGGAAAAAATCTTCCAGTTGGAAAAAACCTAGAAGGCCATAAGAATTAAGCCTGATTTTCTACCATGGAGGGGCAATGGCCCCTTATTGGTAATCATGGATTTTTGAATGGAGGGTTGACACAAACAGATTTATTATATCTGAAATCTGTTTCAGTGAAACTGCATGATCAGCTGGTGTAGTCATGGTTTGGATTTTTCTGAAGGTCTCCTTTCTGTTTCTGTTAGCAATTTGTCTATTTTGGATTGAAAAACAACTTTCCTCTTGTTTTTTAGCCTGAGTGGATGGTGCTGAAATATGTGGTGGGAGGGATGGGGAAAAAGTAATTTATTTTACTGTTATTTTTACATAACTTTAGATATTCCTCCTGTGTTAACACACTCAACCTTTGCACTTTATAATTGGAGATATATTGACCCCAAACGGTAAGCTTTGTCAAGTTTATAAACCAGAATTTCCTGTGTTTTAATTTGAAAATTTTATGATGAACACCAACTCTGAAGTTTGAATTCACTTTATCCATGAGCATTTACTGAATATCAAAATTTACTTTTAATTTTGCTCAATTAAGTCAGATGTTCTGCACACAACTCGTCACCCTCCAGTTTTTTTCTCCTTAGGAACTAACATTTCCCTTTTAAGAGGGGTAGGGGTGTGGTATTTAAAAGGCACTGGGGTTGATCAACTGACCTCTAGGAACAATGTACATTCTTATAATTTCCAATAGTATTAGTATGATTATATTTGCAAATAACAATAAACTTATCATTAAGTAAGGTTACTCTTAGGAATAATAATAGCACTTTGATAATTGTCACAAATGGGTGGCAGTTAAAATAGACATTTTATGTTTCAAACTGATTTTTTGTGCCTGCTGTTAATTGTATTTCTTTCCCTTTTTTTTGGCTCAACATTTAAAAACTGGAGGCCTTTCAGCATGGAGTAAGTATTAACCCTTTACACCCTGATATCATTATGCATATTCTCCATACTGTTCACAGTACACTTCCTAAAGGGGCTGACAAAGAGAATTTGTTCAACAATCAAAAGCCTCTTTAGTTACTGATCATTTCCTTTACTGTTGTGACCTTCATGTGTGATTCAGGGGTTATATTATAATAAGGAGGAATTAAATGCTGGTCACTCTTGATGGTCAACGGATTGATTATGGCAAATTATTGCCATATGTAGATCAACACCTGTTTTGAGTGACAGCATTTATCATACTCTTTCACAGATGGGGTAGGGATAGTATGAACATCATAATTTTTATTGAATGCCTATGATCAATTGAATTATCAGCATGTGGCATGATTAACATAGAGACCTTTTAAAAAAATTTTTTGGAATTGCTTGAAATCTCTATACAACATCTGAGACTCTCAAGGAGTCAGAGAGAATATTTCAGTGGAAATGCTGGAGAAATTGTTTAGGCATATAGCTAAGGGGTAGTTTATATACTTTTTAATTCCTATTAATTCTCTTTTCCTTTTTTTTGTTTTTGTTTTTTGTTTTTTCTGTGACAAAATTGTTGCAATTGAAGCTGTATATACTTCAAAGGATGTAACTCCTTCTGATGAATTCTTGTTTCAGAAACATTGAGCTTTCAGTTAATATCACTGGATCACAGACAGAAGAAGGGTTTCTTAAAGTTCCTCTTCAGATGGAGGCAGAGTTTGGAAAAGGATGCTTTGTAGGTCTAGTTATGAAATCACCCCAATTTGAGTTCAAATACAGAGTAAATTAATTCTAAATATTTGTTTTAATTTCATAACATCCAGCTCTTTTAATTGTGTTAATTTTTAGAGCATTACCAGTGGACAAAAGGTAAGAAAATTGGCCCTGATGCTACAACTTGATAATTATTAACACAAAGGAGCACACCTCATCACAGGTAACCTTTATCTGTCAATCATAGAAAGATATTTTTCTATTTTATGAACCACATTAGCTTTGTAAACTTTCGCTGCTGACAATGAAGGACTGAGAAGGGTCAAACCAGCTGTGATCTATGCACTACATGTATTTGCTTGCTTGGGCTACCTTCAGGTCATGGAGGACTTTTTACCTAAGTACTAAAAGTAATCTGGGATTGCAACCATTCTTCCACATTCTGCTTGGTTAGTCCAGAAAACTTGTGCTGCCCTCTCAGAAGAAAACTGCCAACCAATTGTGCCTTTGTTGTTCTCTTACATTTCTGGCCCTTAAGGAACTCACTTTCACTGTTACAAATCAGTTTCCTAATTCTTTTTTTTTATTTGTTTGTTTGTTTGTTTGTTTTGTTTTTTGCCAGGCTGTTGTAAATAATGACACCGAAGGGGTGTTGAAAGCCTTGATGTCATTAAAAGAAACAATAGTCCAGCTTAAGAAATCATTTTTACGTATTTATGGTTGGTATCAACCTTTCTAGCTACTTTGTAAAATAATTGGCTCTTAAAGCAATTTTAATTGACTGTTAAAAGTCATGATCTTGGACTGTATTCATTTGGTTTTCATTTAATTGTACTTTACTCTTAAAAAAAAAAAACTTACACCTTTATGTTAACTAAATGAAATTCAAATTCAATGAAAACATTTATTGCAATTTGTCCACAAGTGTTACCCCACTTCAGTCAGTTTGCCTGTTTTTGCAAAGAAAAAATTCTGACTGGATCTTCAATGGGCCTTTGTACACTGTACACCCTAACATCAGCATTCATATTCTCCATACCCTTTTCTATGCATTTCTTAACATGCTTACAAGGAGAATTTGTGTAACAGTGAGGAGCTTCTTTAGTTGTTGATCAATTCCTTTATTCTCTCTATCTTAATGTGTGATTCAGATATGTATCTTCTCTCTGCCTTAAAGTTGATGTTTGACTTTTAACAAAAAAAACTGTTTAAATATGGACTGGGAGTCAGTGTTTTGTCCATGGACTGGGAGGGTAGTTACTAAAACAAGGAATGACCTAAAATGACCTAAAATGACCTTGAGTGATTTCTTAAATGACTTAAAATGACCCAAAATGACCCAAAATGACTTTGACTGATTTCTAAAATGACTTAAAATGACCCAAAGTGACCTTGAGCGATTTCTAAAATGACTTCAAATGACCCAAAATGACCTAGAGTGATTTCTAAAATGACCTAAAGTAACCTAGTATGCCCTTGTGTGATGTGAACAATGCGGCTTCGACAAAATCTGGATTGGTTGGACCGGATCGGATCGGATTGTTCATTTCGGTTTGCGGATTTAATTTTACGTGGTTCAGCATTTGGTTTTCGGTTTCCTCAAAATTCAAACGGGTTTTCTATTTTTTTTCCGGTTTGTCTTCGATCTGAGCGGCAATTTAGCAACTCCACTGATCTCGAACAGCCGCAAAACGCAAATGGTATTGAGAGGAATGCGTGACAAAGCAAATGTCGCTAAAATAACCTCTCGTTGGTTGAATATTGTAGGGATCCGTAGGAAGTCACGCGTCTCGAATAACACCCGAGACTTTGACCTTGCAATGTGGAGCACATAGGTTGATTAGTTTGCGAACTATGGCTTCCAACGTGCCTCACGCGTCAGCAACGGAAGAAGCTCAAGAACCTTAAGAAGCAACTGAGGATTGTGTCGCGTTTTTCTTAACTGACTGATGAAATGATGCGTACTTCTCGCTTGCCTTCGTGCATGGTGGCACTACACAACACTCCTCGACAGAGCCATGAAAGTGACTACATGGGGTTTTTGGGCAAAAAAAAAAATCCCAGTGGGGTCTGTGCTCTATTTTGCACAAAATTTCTAATTTTATGTTACATGATCCGATCCATGATCCGTGATCCGGTCCGTGATCCAATCCGTGATCCGGTCCGATATCCAATCCATGATCCGATCCAGTCCGATCCGATCCGATCCGATCCAGATTTTGTCGGCGCCGCAAACTCGAGGTCATTTTAAGTCGTTTAAGGTCATTTTAGAAATCACTCAAGGTTATTTTAGGTTAATTTAGGTCATTTTAGAAATCACTCAAGGTCATTTTAGGTCATTTTAGGTCATTTTGTGTCATTTTAGGTCATTTTAGGTCATTTTAGGTCATTCCTTGTTTTAGTAACTACCGGACTTGGGAGTCAGTGTTTTGTCCAACACCCTCATCATTGTAATTAGTTTTGAACTTCAAAGGTTTTTGTCATATTTCATTTGCAGATGTTTGTGATCCTGAGGAATTTTACAATGAACTGAGAATATATCTTTCTGGGTAATCAATGGGGGTCGATGTTTTTAGAGTTTTAGTGACTTTTTGGAAAATCCTGTATTTTATCACTATGCATGAAACAAATTAAAGTTTAAGTCAACTGATAGGTGTAGTTATATTACCTCAGACTGCTTTTCAAATGCATTCTCAGCAATAACAGCTCCCTTCAATGGGCTGAGAATATAAATCTGGTACAATAATGAGAAAAAATTTACCATAACTATAACTGTGGTTCAAAATGTTTCATCAGTTTAAATTTTTTAAAATCAATTTAATTAATATATTTCACTTAGGATGATTTTCAGATTATGATAAAGATAAAGTTGATAATTACTATGATTGTTATATAGAGGGTATTACCAAGACCTAACTCACTGTCTTGAGTGAATACTTAACATGAAATTGAAACCTAGAGCAAACAGTCAAACTATTGAATTAAATTGAATTTAAACTGAACTCATGTATAGAACATTGTATAGAATATTGTATTAAACTGAACTCATGTATAGAACATTTTGTGTAATCTTGAAATGGGCATTCCTTGAATTTCAGGTGGCTTAACAACCCAGCTTTACCAGATGGCCTTATTTATGAAGGTGTTAGTGAGATGCCTCTGCAAGTAAGTTGTTTATCTTGCCTATTTTCTGACAGTGCTAAGGCCCATGCATATATTGTCCTCCTCGTTTTCACCTTTCCCTTCTTCCTCTCTCCCTTCCACCTCTTTTTTCCCTCCTCCCTCTCTCCCCTCCTCCTTCTCTCTTTCCCTCCTCCCTCTCTCCCCTCCTCCTTCTCTCCTTTCCCTCCTCCCTCTCTCCCTTCCTCCTTCTCTCCTTTCCCTCCTCCCTCTCTCTCTTCCTCCTTCTCTCCTTTCCCTCCTCCCTCTCTCCCTTCCTCCTTCTCTCCTTTCCCTCCTCCCTCTCTCCCTTCCACCTCTCTTTTCCCTCCTCCCTCTCTCCCTTCCACCTCTCTTTTCCCTCCTCCCTCTCTCCCTTCCTCATTCTCTCTTTCCATTAGAACCTAGACCAGTGGACCCCCTTCATAGAACCTCTCTCTCCCTCTACCTCTGATATTTTCTCTCCCTCCCTACCTCTAATCTTCTCTTGCTTAATCCCTCCATACTTCATAATTTCCCCCATGAACTTTCCTCTATACCAACAAACTTGATGAATGCACTTTACCCCCATAATCTTATTTATTTGTCATGGAGGAGTTAATTTTACTACTTTATGTGTTGTTTTTAGTATTCTGGAGGAAGTGCCGCAGAGTCTTCAATATTTCATACTCTAGATGCTGTATTAGGTGTATTACATTCAAAAACAGGTAAATTTTTAACCCAAGGAAAGGTTTGCAATTAGCTGGGTGCGCAACTGATTTGGATCCACAGGGAAGCATTGTAGACCCCTAGTACCAGAGTAACTCTGAAGGTACTATCTCCTCTACAAACCTTCAGAAGAGTAAGAAGCAAGGTCGTGAGGCATTGATAAGCTAGCAAACCACTGTGATATAACACTGAATCAAAATAAGTAATTAACTGAGGAATCCCAGTGGTGTTGATCTTTCACCAGGTTCCTTTGGCCAATTTCTTGCAGTAGTGATCTTCCATCTTATAAAGTGTCGAACAAACAAAATTTAAATTTGATCAAAATTATAATTAGTACCAAAAGGCTAAGTGCATGTGAGGCACTTGGTGACTGTGTTTCAGCTCTTGCATCAAGGACACTTCAACATCCCAATCTCTCTTCAACCCAAACCCCTGTCCCTGCAACCTTTGAGAAAATCAGACTGGTTACAAGTTGGTTATTGGTTTTGCTTTCCCTTATTTTGCCTTTGGAGCTCATTTGAGTCGTTCAAAAACTGAATTTTTTTTTTTCTGATCTTGATTTGCTTACATTCAGAATCAAGTTCAGGTGGTCAGTTTTTAGAAAGAATGCATTACTACATGCCACCTAAACACCGTGCATTTATAGAGGCTGTGGCAAAAGGGCCATCAATCAGAAACTATGGTTAGTGTATATTTTATAGGCTTATGATGACAAAGCAGGGGGCAGATCTAGGAAAGGGGTGAACGGGGTATACAACCCTCCCCCCTGAGATGACCTGCAGCTTTCTAATATAACTTCACAGATACACAAAATTTGCATCTGTATTATTTGCTTTGTATTCTCAGCAGTTAAAATCATGTTATTGCCTTAAGCTTTCATTTCCTTGTTCACTTTTAAAACTTGTTTATGTCACCCATCAGTTGCAGCATTTGTTAGTGGTGCACCCCCTGCTAAAAAAAAGAAAAATCCTGGATCCACCCTTGCAAGAGGACATATTTTTTGTTGGTTTTACTCATTGGTATTTTGTTTCTCAAACTTTATCATTGTCTTCTTTGTAATGTGGGTAATAGGGCTTTTTCTCCTACAATACCATCCGTAACACTTTTTTTTTTGCTTAGTAATAATTTTCTCATGATAAACTAATTGGGATCCAGCTAGGTGCTCGAAAACTCTGATTCTGATCATCACTCAGAATATGATTACAGTCCACCCAAATGGACACTATGTTTTCATGAAAACATAATGATTGTCAATTACCTTTTCTCTAATCTGTGTACATATTGCATTCAAAATAGTCCTTGCAAGTGGAGACCCTGATCTCACTAGGGAGTATGATCTCTGTGTGGGAAAATTAACAGACTTTAGGAATGTGCATTTGCAAGTTGTAGCCAGGTTAGTGGGTTGTAGCACACTAGATGGGAAGGCATGCTTCTCCCACAAGAATATTTACTACCATTGTTATAGAGAATAAGGAATTCATGCATTTCCACTACAGCATGTTAACCCTTTGACCAGCATTCAATTTCTCCTTACATTATCACCCCTAAATTAAACATTTAGGTCACAAGAATAAAGAAAATGATCATCAACAAATGAAGCTCTTGATTGTTAAACAAATTCTCCTCATCAGCACCTAAGGAAATGTATAAAAAACAGTATGAAGAATATGTGTTCTGAGACCACCCAAAACAATTTAAGGTTTTAACAGTGCATTAGTGGTCATGTTACGTTTCAAAGACAAAAAAGATGCTTTGTTCATCTTTCAGTTATAATCACAATTTTCAGGAATGCTTTTTCTCTAATACAGGAATGCAGTTTGGCTCCGAGGTTGAGTGTTAACTCTCCCCTCCAGCTGCTGCACATTTCCATGTAATTTAGTCACAAGGATTTGGTGTTAGATCAAGACAATAACTGCTTGATAAGTTTGAGTATTTGCATGACCTGTTTGCTTGGAAGGAAGCAGTTACATGTGAAGCACTTCTGGGATTAGAGGTTAAAAATCTCTTTTGAGGATGAAAAAATTCAGCAGAAGTAATAATTCTGTTGTTGTTGGTGTTCATATTTAAGCTTAATGCAGTTAACCTTTTGCTTGCTAAAATGATATGAGCATATACAATACACTATTCAATTTTTGCTCACATTATATTTAGATACATCATTATTCCATCAAACAGAGGAAAAGATACAAAGCAGAAGGGAAAGGCCTTGATTGGCACAGGAGGGTCCGGTGAGGCATGGCTTCCTCTAGCAACATTATGTTCACAGACACAAGTTGAAAAATATTCATAATAAACTAGTGTTAATTGTGATTGGTTTATATAAACATGTTGTCATGTGAGAGAGTGAATAATCCATGCACAACTCATAATAATGGAATCACATTCTTAGCTAATATTTCACTGACTCTCAATTGATATAACACCATATGATTCACAAGGCTGCCAGAGAATTAAAATTATCACAAGTTTACAATAAACCTACATAATTTGATTAACACATTAAAATTATATGACAAAAAGGAAATGTTATGGAGCTTCCATCTACTGATGGCAAGTTTTTTCTTTGTTATTTGTCTTTGCAGATCTTATGTCCTTCCTGAAGCAGATTCGAAATGAAACTGCCAGAACTGTTAGTTGTAATAACAACATTGGAAGAGATTCCTCTCTTGAATTACAAAAGGAATTAGATGGAGTGTCAGATAATACACTAATTAATGATGTGTGATGATGACTTGCAAGCTGACAAGTCTATCCAGCTTTTTGAGTGGTAAGCCCTGACTATGGGAGACCTCCACAACCAGGATGTACTTCAAATTCAAAGTCAAGACACTGACCAGACTTTTTTTTACCCTTTTTGAGTAATGTTTTTGGATAACAGAATGCAAATTAGTTTATTGTGTTGTTGTTTTATATTTTAACAAGGAGAGAGGTGAAATCTAGAGAGCAGATTTTCAATTTGAAATTTCATTTTTTCATTTTCCTTCATTTCATTTTTTTCCATATCATTTAAGTTTAAATGACACTTTCAAGTTAAAATTAGTTTGTATGTATCAAGGTATTATTAAGCTTTTTATGAAAGAAATGGTTTCAACTTGTTAAGCAATCCTCATACCGGCTGAATTTTCAAAAATTCCAAGCGATTTTAGGCAAGAATAAGAGGTACAACAGGCAGTAAATTGTACAGGTTACCACCTGAAAAAATAACACATTGGAAGTATGGGGATATTTATAGGGGACAAATTTCTATCTGAGTGACCAAAAAAATCCACTACCTCAATTTTGAACAGTGACCAACAGTGACTAACTCGAAAGCTCATTGGCTACTTTGGTCACTGTATACAATTAAATATTCTTTCTTCTAGTTAATTTCTGTTTGTATTTTTTCTATATCATTGTAAATCATGTTATGTTAAGTTACTTTTTTCTGTAAACAGTGTGAAAAAACAAAACTTGGAAAACTTGGAAACTTGAAAATACTTCCACCATTAAAAAAAAGACTTCAGTTCCTCAAACAGAGAAGACAAATATTTTAATTTCAGTGCATACTGCTCTGTATAAATAAGTTAAGTTATGTTTAAACAACTGAAGAACTGATCATCCACAGTGCAATATACTATTCCATCTATGTGGAAATATATTTGAACATCAATGCACACAGCTGTGTATACATAAATTAAGTTGTGTTAACATAAAACACTGAGGGTGTAATTGGAAGTAATTTGTTACCTTATAATTGAAAAATGCCATTTGAAAAGAAAACATTCGATTTTGCACTTCAGACACTGAAGTGAATTGATCTCATTGACAAATGTCACAGACTGAAGTAAATTTGATTATTGAATTTACATTTTACAAGAATAAATAGAAATCTTTTCATTTATCCTTATTCAAATGTTATCCCTTTGTGTGCAATCTCAAAGCTTTTGTTCCCTATCTAAAGAAATTCCTCAACAAATGGATAAAAAATTTTCATCAAAAATAAGACCTCGTAGAAATAAAGTTTGGCAATTTACTGGCTGAACAGTTGTGAATTTGCCTGCAATTCACATCTGTTCATTCCAGACAGACTCGCTCAGAACACAATCAGTTATAATGGGGCAATCGAGACAGTCTCTAAAGAATTCCTTTGCTTCCTTGTGATTGACAGTCCAAGCAACCACTTGAATGCCCTGCTCACTCCACATTTCCAACATGTCCCTGAAAACAGACAGCATAATTTGTCAACAAATGACGATGACAAAGATGTTGATGATAAATATGATTAGTAACAAGTCCGAAAATTAATCCTTTAAACCCTTAAAGTGACCAGTATCTAATTTCTCCCTACAGTAATACTGCTGTCAAATCATTTGTTAAGATCACAAGAATAAAGGTAATGATCACCAACCTAAGAAGCTTTGGTTGTGAAAAAAAAGTTTCCTTGTTGGTACCAAACATAATGCAAAGAGGAAAGTAGGGAGAATATAGCTACTGATTTTAGGGTATAAAAGGTAACCAAACAGGTAAATTAGTTACAAGAATTTGGTGTTAGATCAAGATAAAAATTTCTACCTGAGAAGTTTGAGTATTCTCATTACCTGTTTGCTGTATAATGTATAGATATTATAGGGAGAAGTTGCATGGTAATCACTTTTGGGAGTTTAAGGGTAAAGCCAGACAAATGACTTACTTGCACACATGCTCCTTGGCACAAGACAGAATGGGAACGCCAACAAAATCAAGAAACCAAGGCAAGAGTGATTCCCACAGTCTATCAAAGAAACTCAACACCGATACTTTAATGGAACTCTTGATCTCAAATAGTTCCTTCCCTCCTGTCAAAATAAAACTCAGAGTATCCCTCCACCATACTAGAGCTGTCACAATTTGTGGATCCACCTTTCGTACCTAAAAATTTAAAAAGCCAGGATGGTTATTGTGGAATAATTTTAGACCAATTTTATGTTTAAAACCTAGTTTCAGACACAATGGAAAAGCTGCATGTCATCTGTCTCTTCAATATACTTGCTTAAGGATATTCTTTGGCCTGTGTCAAGCTCTTGGTTGATGTAAACAAGCAGAAAAACCTACATGCACTAAAGTGGTGGTGGAGAGCTATTTCCTGAGAACCATCATTCTTCCCTCACCAACTCATTCTCTCCTCATCAGTATCCCAGGGACAAAGGGATAGGCTGGATAAACTATTCTGAAGCTCAGATCCTCAGATTTTCATCCTTATCACCTCTTAAGAAATACTCCAGCAGTGATGCACATTGTTCAAATTATAACATATATCACTTATCATTTTAATCAGTATAACTTAACGGGGTTACCTGATAAATAACACTGGGAAAATAACAGCACACAAGGGCCTTATCATACAGGTGATAGCTTGAGAATAGATTCTTCAGATATTGAGCTGTCTGAAATAACAAAAAAATGACTCAGTGTAATAACACACAAGCACCCCAGAGAACCTCTCCAGAATGGCCTAAACAACACTTAGAGCAAGACTTGAAATAATATATATTTTTTTTTTTAACAATGAACCAGAGATGTTTTCTTTATCCTGTGATCAGTACCTTATTCTTAACTGGACAAGGATGCAGCATGAAAAAACTTGACACCCACTTTATTTCAAATGCTAGTTGGTATTTTGCAAGAAGGGAAGCCTCACTAAGAAGAAAGTTGCAGTAGTTGACCCTGAACTTAAAGCAGAACAACATATCCTAAACCAGTTTCCATGTCTTCTGAAATCAATTTCTTTCAAATTGATTACCAAACAACTGTAACTTCTTGTGGCTGTTTGCTTTGTTTTGCTTCTCAACATCACATCTCTCAATGCCAAATTTCAGTTGCAACCCTCAGCCAAGTTTAAATAACCCTTTGACCTCTAAGAGTGACTAGCATCTAATTTCTCCTTACTCTATCAGCCTTGAATCACGCATTAAGGTCAAGAGAATATTGGAAATCATCACCAACAAAAAGAAGCTCTTGATTGTAAAACAAATTCTCCTTGTCAACACCTTAGGAAATGTATGAAGAACAGTAAGGAGAATATGCATACTGATGTTGGGGTGTAAAGAGTTAAAGAAGGTTGAAGTTTTGGTAACACCATGGAAAACCATGATGATGGAACAAGATCAATCAGACCACATGTAATTTGCTTTTCATAAACATTTTGGAAGTACTGTAAAAGAAAAGGTGTCTGAAAAAACAATTACCTCATAAAAATAAAGAAAAATACAAATTTGCTTCCCTGATAATTTTCCTTACCTCAAGTGTTTCAGTGCCTTTTTTTATCTCAATTATCATCTTTAAACCAAGACTTGAACAAAGTTCCACAACTTCTTCCAGGGTAGGCACTTTTTCCCCTGGGAATTTTTCTCTGTGAGGAAAATTAAGCAACTCATAATAAATCTCCATGTGTACCAGCTTTCAATATGATTTATAACATAGCGCATAAATTTGTCTGATCAAATTCAATTGTGTGAGCATGTTTCATATTCCTATTGTGCATGCTCATGACGTCAGCAAACAACTCCCTCGAGAATTTTGTATTCAATCAGAAAATAAAGTTCATTTACATGCATGAATTCACATGTCAGTTTTTTGACCAATCTAAGACAAGATCATTTACAGCATAGTGAAATGTTTTCCTGAAACAAAATTATCAACGCTGAAGTGTAGCAGAGGGAATATTAACCCTTTTACAACATTAAAACCATCAGGTTGAAAATGCTATAAAACAATTGTTTCATACCTCAGCTGCGTGTTCATCGAGATATGAAGCACTTGGGAAGTTTAAAGAGCACTCAAGAAGCTAGAGTTGCTCTTGGCTATGCCTCGAGCAACTCTTACGCATCTTTCATGCTCTCCGAACTTCCTGCATGCTTCATATCTCCATGAACACACATTGACGTATGAACCAATTGTTAATTGACAAGTTCAGTTTCAAATATTCTTTTACATGTTTTCCACACATTTTCAATTACTGTGGAAAATTGATTAAATTGATAATAAACTCTAGTTTAGTTAAAAAGCTCTTTTCACCTTGATATTATTTTCAGAAATTTCTCTGGATTTTGGCCTCATCGGACGATATATATCGCATTTGACTTAAGAGCGTTGAAAATATTCAACAATTTTGAAACGGTTTCATTCTATTATAAGAGATGAAAAACAAACTTGAAAACAACATTTCAAGCCAAGAGATCGAGTTACTGATTCCAGAGAACGAAGGCTTCACAACGTCATCAAAAACTCACTACTTTAATCCTAAAGATCCGCTAGAGGTTAATGAGTTTCATAATCACAGTATATAATATTGGGTAAAGTTTCCGCACAGCCCCATACTATTGTAAAACAAATCTGTTTTCCCAAAGGCAATGTATTATTTTTGTCATTGTTTTCTCTGTTCAAGAATTGAATGCATAATGTAGGATGCGGCTGTGCGGAAATTTTACCTAATATTGATTTACAATCCTCTCACATAAAAAATATATGACCTCTGTACTTTAAATTACCTCAGTGGATGTTTCACCGATGCATCCAATTTTCTAATTTCTTCCAGAGTAAAACTACTGACGGGACCACTTCCATTCGTAGTCCTATCAACGGTAGCATCATGAATAACAACAGCCCTACTGTCTTTCGTGAAATCAACGTCAAACTCCACACCAATAGCTCCATTTTCTTTCGCCAATCGAAAAGCAGCCAAGGTATTTTCAGGAGCTTCTGCCGATCCTCCTCTGTGCGCGATTAACCCTGGTGATTTGTCCGATAGGTCTCCTCGCAGAAAAGACTTGACGAGTTCAGGGTCAGGCTTCAGTAGACGAAATTTTCGGTAAAGGATCAGTAAAATTGCTGGAATGAAAATTATTAACAGAAACGCCATAATTATGATAGACCAATGTTCAACCCTCGCTCCTAGCGGTCAGTGGTAATGCAACAGAGACCAGTTTAGCTGGTTCGTCCAGTAAAGTCAACGTAGTCTTTTTTTTCCCGCGTGGTCACGACTCGCACACGCGCATTACAGCGCGATCACGTTTGAAAAATTTAGTATCGTGCAATAAATGATCATAAATATGTGTTATTGACCAAGTGTGCGATCAAGATGGCTGGATATTAGCCGATTATTTTTTTTGCGTTTTTATGGACGAAAGTCAAGGTTCATCAATTCAACAATTTTCATTCATTTCATTTATCATTTCATTCATCATTTCATTCATTCGGTTCATTCAATCAATATCCAGCCATTTTGAATGAACAACCTTTGTCAATAAAGGATTTATTGTATAACAAGAAGATATCGCTTTAATAAGAATCAAGAAAGAAATTTTTTTTATTTCGAGAGCCGAGAAAGAAAGCCAACTTTGTTGGTAGCATAATGACCCCATTTTTATTAGTTCCAAAGTACAACAAGTTTAACGGGAGTTGGAGTCGCAAAAGGTCAGAAAACGCTGCTGACAATACTCTATTCCAGCTATTGTGAAAAGAAACGGAATGCGGAGATCAAAATAGTTTCATTTTGTGTCCTCATCATTTTCTCTTCCTCTGTCTCGCGCTTCCTTGCGGTGCGCTTACTTGCCTCTTATTATGTACTTTATGTAGTGGTGAAGGAATTATCGACGTCTCGTCTATGTGCATAAAATATTAGCTGTGTTTGGTTTTGTTTAAACCGCATTGAAGTAACGTCACCTAATGTTAATCATGATTCATTCTCGCACATTAATTAATATTTTACGGGGCAAATACAACGAGAAATCGGATAAATTACTGAAATTCTTTCAACTGAGAAACGTGCATGAAATGAGCAGCAATATTTCAACATTCTTTCCCAGGCCCCACTATGTTTGTAATGATCGTGGAAATGGCTCTTACTGCAGTGTCGTACGGCCTACACATTTATTTTGCAATACTTCTCATTTTTCTCAGTGTTATGATGTTTATTCTCTACCGTTTGCTTCGGTTTCCTCGTCCTACGCCGTACACGGTGAGCTGTTTTCTCCGAAGAGGGGCGCTGAGTAGAAGTTCACCCGTGATCATCGGTCATAGAGGCTGTAGTTTGGAAGCGCCAGAAAACACTTTGGCGGCATTCAAATTAGCGAAAGAAAACGGAGCTCAAGGAGTGGAATTTGACTTGGACTTTACGAAAGATGGCGTACCAGTAATAATTCATGATTCAACCGTAGACCGCACAACAGATGGACACGGTAAAGTCCGCGACTTTACTTACGAAGAAATTAGAAGACTGAACGCCTCAGCAAAACACCCCAATAGGTAAGAGAAGCTTATATCCTTGACAATGCCAAAAATAAGAAAAATATTAGGTAGAAAGTTTTCCCTTTTAAACTCGTGACACGAAAAATTCTGTGTAAAAAAAAACGTGATTTTTTTGTTAAATTCTTGCGTAAAACATTATCATGACTCCCCCCCGTTTGTTACTCTCTGCCCCACACTATTGTGATGGGCTGATCAATTCAAAGCTTCTAAATCCCTTCCCCCCCGGCAACTCATGGGCATTTGACTGGTGTCTGTGCATAGAGAATAGGGAATTTGACAAAAGATGAGGGGGGGGATTTGAACCTTGCCAGAGTGGGGTGGGGAATTTGAACTGGAAGTGTCAAGTATTTCCAGTTGAATACACATGTTTATTTTTTGATATGTTGGAGTCAAAGGTAAAGAGTTTACTTTCCCAATTTTCATGACATAGAATGATGCTTGCAAGCAGAAAACCCAACAGCAGTGTCAAAAACTAATTTACATGCTTTTTTTTTTTTTCTCTTACCATTTTTTAAAACATTTGGTTCTTTAGGAGGAGCTTTTGACTAATAAATGCAGCCATTGAATAGCGCAGTTCAATGCAACGGTGGTCCTGTGGTTGGGGAGGGGGACCAGGAATTTGGATGAACCAATCCATAAAAGTTCAAATGCCTGGGGGATGGCCCGGGGGGAGGGGGGGGGGAGGGAAGAAGACTAAATAAAAGTGCTTTTGGTGTGGAGGCATTAACAAGCTGCATATAATGAAAACTTGGGTGAGCTAACAGTGTCTCTCTCATAACTGCAATGCATGTGTCACTTCTTTTTTTCTGCAAAAAATTTTACTGAATAGATAGCACATTGAAAAGTATCAGTAGGTTTCTTCAAGAAGATCATTTGACTTAAAAACCAAATTTACCATTTCTTATCAAGCTTTTTCATTGGATAATGATGCAACATGACATGAAACATGACAATATTTTTGTAGGGAAAAATTTCCAGATGAGCGTATCCCACACCTTCAAGAAGTTGTAGATCTCTGTGTGAACCTTGGTTTACAAATGTATATTGATGTGAAAGCAGCATCACAAGCTGGAAAAGTATGTCGCCAAAATGTTACACTTGTATGTGTTGTGGTTCAAATGTTTCTTTGGTTTAAAATGTTCAAATTTTGTATTCTTTTGCTGCAGAATTTGATAAAAGATGTGAGACAGAGGAAAAATAAAAAAAGAACTAGTTTTACTATTGTTAGTGAATGAGTCTTTGGTTTAATTACAATTTTTTATTTTCCTATACCAGGCTGCAAGTGTCCTCAAAAACTTATTTGCAAGTCACCAGCTGTATGACAAAGCTATAGTTTGCTCATTCTATCCAAATGTAATTTTTCAGGTAAGAAGTTAAACATAGACATATTATACTACAGAAATACAATGATCCATGGGAAGAGAGCAATACATATTGATACAGCTTCCTTAACAAAAAACTCTTCCTTATAAGAGACAAACTTTTTGTGTTTTATGCACATTTCTCCATGACTGGAATTACTTGGAAATGGTTCTAGGCAATTCCAGCCATGCAGAAATTTTTTTCTTCCACTGACCTAATTCAGACACATGAAATGCACTACTTCTTAATAAATACAATTAGTTAACATCACCATATCTACAGAGATTGATTTGATTGTTTTTTTTTTGTTTTTTTTTTCAGTGATCTTGAGTATTTAAGGTCCACACCAAAATCCACTCTTGAGGGCTTATCATCAAGCAAATCAACTTTCTATAAAATTAGCTCTGTCTTCCTTCTTTGGAAATTAATCCTGTGCCACATTATTTCTCTTTGCTGCCATTAGGTACGCCGAGCTGATCCAAATATTCTCACAGCCCTCACATGGCGGAAAATGTTTATATCCCTTACAGATTATTGTGGTCCATGTAGATACAAGGAGTGGTGGAAGCAACTGTTGGCCCCTCTGCTGGACAGAATATGGGAGCTTCATCTTCACTCCTGGGTTTATGACATACTGGGAGTGTCTGTCTTTCTGTCTCATACAGCGCATTTCTCAAGGTATGGTTACCCTCATTTGTTAGGCAGGAATAGTCAGATCATATGAACAAAGATATGGATAAATGAGTAAATGTTTTCATAAGACAGCTTAAAATCTAGCATAGTCCTGAATGAAGATTTTCACTAAATGTCATGTTTCAAACTTTCAAGTTATTAAAGTTGAAAGTTCAAAACTTTTATCTTGTTACAGTGCCACTACTGTTACCAGGTTCACTTGTAAACAAATATAACTAATTGAATTTTAAGAAACAAGCCATGAATTGAATTTAACTACATTTAATGGGGCCAATCAATGTGGGCTTTGAAGCATGAAGCAGCAGTGTAGTAAAAAGGGGCATCAAAGTCACAACAGTTTTCAGATGGAAAATAGTATCTTTGTGTCTTTTCTGTTGTTTCATTTAAAAAAACACACAAAACCATCAGATACTCAGGCTAGACCACAGCACGCCAAGCTGACAAAGAATTATGATGGACTTGATTCCTGTAACCAGATCAATCAGTTTTGTACAAGTGTAGCAGTAATTGCACAAGATCCAGTTGTATAAAGGCCAGATATCACTATCCAGTGGATAAATCCCTATCCATCAGATGAGTGTCAACTAAACATACTGTGCTATCCACTGCGTAGAGATTTATCCAGTGAATGGCATTATCCACTGTTCAAACAACCAGGGCCTGGAATTTAAGGATACTTTTTGCAAAAGATTAATTTTTATTTGATACTCCTGTTTGTGTCAGGTGTGCATGGTTTTGTGGTGAAGTGTATATGCAGCCACCATCTGTTTTTCTTGTTGTGCTTTTCTTTTCTCAACATTATCATTATAAATTGTGGAAGTGTTTTAATGCATTTTGTTGATGCTGTTGTTTATGTGGTAGTTGCAATACTGTTATATTCTTTCCTGCAGAGAATACCAAAGAGAATGGCAAAACAATGGAGTGAGTGTAGTTCTTTGGACAGTTAATGATCCTGCAGAGAAGGACTACTTTGGCAGAGTTCTGAAGTGCCCAATCATGACAGACTGTGTGGGGAGCAGTTCACAGCAGAGCACTCCATAAATACCTGATTTATACTTAAATGTTTCAACTGAATGATTGAATTTTTACTTTTAACCCTTAAACTACAAAGGTCTGATCGTTACTTTTCCCCTCTAGTTACCATACATTTCCTTTTAAACTATTTATGACAACTTCTGCCTGATAATTTTGGGTATTCTCATTACCTGTGTGCTGGATTATGTATGAATATTATAGGGAGAAGTTAAATGTTAATCTCTTCAGGGAGTTGAAGAGTTAAAAGCAACCTCTCTTTATGGTAGAATCTAAGCGTTAACACAACCTTTCAATGGAAACAAAAACAATTTGAGATGCTGGGAAGTTTGAGGTCACTTAAATTTTTAGAAAATGGCTTCAGGTTCTTCTTCAGTGGAAGTTTGAGTTAGTAAGGTCCTTTTTTTATTTCCTGAGTTCTTTTTGAGGTTGTACTGAAACTTGATTATGTAAATGGAAAGGATTAGGCCTTCCGATGCTTTCAACCTGCTTCTTTTCATGTTTGCTTTTTATTTGATTTTCAAACGTGTGAAGACTCAGAAGAGTTTACTTCATAT